ACGTGATTATGTGTGTACATCCATCTGGTCTAGATTAGATTAAGTGTGTATGAACGCAAATTAAATGTGTTCAAACACACATAATCACGTTTGCACACATTTAATTCGCGTTCGCACACATTTAATCTAATCTAGACCATTAAAAAGTATTAAATGGATGCACACGATTTGTTCTCACATAAGCAAGTGTTCTCATATTCTCATATATATATATATATATATATATATATATATAATACTGTATTTGATTTGTCTCAGCAATTGAGACCCTACATTAGAACAGCCCTCTAAAAAAATCTCTTAATATAATTATCATTTAGCGAACCACAGTAGTGCTGCATGTAAATTACACATGAAAAGACAAAACACAAAATTAAGAGGGAGGGAGAGTGATGCCTGCATGCATGCATGCCTATGGCACTTAGCTTAACGCTCAAAAAAAGAAAGCCAACACTTATATTACTAAGTACTAACGTCTGCCTTACAATGCGGAATTTGCCCCCAGCAGCTTTCGAGGCGTCACATCCGCCCATGCGGCGGAAACACTTCCGGTTGCCCAGGGGGCGAAACGGGCGGTTGTGGCGCTTCCGGCCCACACGCCGGCGAGCCCGGCGGCCTATCGGAATCTCGACCCGCAGCCACCCCAGTTACGGCCGGCGGGTGGTCATCACCAGGCCTAATCGGCGGATCTGCATCGAAGTCGGGAACAAAAGGCGACCCCGGCACCGCCGTCGCGTCCGTGGGGGTCGTTATCGGCGGCGTGACTATCGGCGGCACAGAATCAAATGCCTGCTGATGCTGACTCACATTTCTCTGCCGCCGCATCCCATCCAATGTCGGAAAAATTGAGGAAGCTTTTGCTCTACACCGGGAAATTGCAGAAATTCTAAGCATTTTTTTTTTCTCTGATCTTTCAATATTGCATCAGCTTACGACTAGTGCGTATAAAACAGTGGAATTTTTTAACACAAATTTATATAGAGTAAGAATTTAGCGGTGGATCATATCGGAGCAATTAGGCGGCGGAGAAAGAAAGCTAGCGGTGGCCGACATATAAAGGCTGCTGTATACAAAGGTGACGCGTGGATGCCATGCGTATGCACGCATGAAGGACTGAGAAAGTAAGAATCTTCCATTAATTTCTTGAAACCTTATCTCGACAATAAACTATTATATTCTATCAGTAATAAACGGATAAAAAAGTATAAATACCAGAGATCCCATATTAGGAGACAGTAACAACCTCATCTCAGCTGAATTAATGGAACAGTCAGAAAACCATTTTTTTTTTTTTTTGAAGGGATCAGAAAATCAAATTTAAAAATAGTTAATTATGAAAATAATTAATGTGGAATTATTAATTTAGTTCTTCACTTTGAAAATTTTAATTAATTTGATTCTACATTCGGTTAACGCCAATAATCTATTTAATTTGAGGGTGTTGCTGAAATTTCACATTACATGCATAATTTTCTTTTTTATTAAATTGAAGAGTTAATTAGCATAATAGTCTTTTGACTGTAGTAAAATTATCAATTTAATTCCGAATAGCTTAGGAAGCAATGTGAAATTTCAGCAATAATACCCCTCGAATTAAATAGATGTTTATATGCTAAACAAACGAAAGATTAAATTGATTAAAATTTTTTAAGTTGACTAAATTAGGCAAAAATAATCAATGATCAAATTAGTGATTTTATTATTGTCAAATGACTATTTCAATAATTAACTCTTTAAAAATTATTAATTGGTTAGATAAAAAAATTGATTTAAAAAGTTATAGAAAAATGTTAAAGAAAATTAACAAAGTGTTGTAAATAATTTGATGTGGACATTACTAAAGGTGTTATACTATGATAACACCCCTCCATTTTTATTAGTCTTATATCGTATTAGAACTTTGTATATCTTGTATATATATTGGATTGAAGAAGGATTAATAAGAGGATCGATTATTCTCTCAGTATTTCCCGTCTTTCTCGTTTCTTCATTATTTTACTGCAGTTAAAATTATACAATTATTCACGCAATTATTTATTCATATTCATCTAACTTTACAACACATTATTAGCACGAGTGAGTTATATCCTCGGTGCTCTTTGTTTATTTATTAGATAATACAATTCGAAATTGTTATTCCCTTGAAATATATAACGGGCCATCACCATAATTTCTAGATGGCCTTCAAACAAGCCCATTAATTAGGTAACTCAACTATTGAAACAATTTGGCCCAACTTAAATATAATTATTTAAACATTTTGGAAAAATCAATCCTAACTCAATCATCCTTAAATAAGCAACTACACTAACCAGAAATTTATTGAGACATTTTAATCAACCCAATAAAATAAGTATTAGTCTAATTAACAAGATTAAAGTAATTAATTTTTTAATCAATTGTCAAACAAAGTCTAATAACATATTTATCAGTCTATCAATTTTCCAATTTCTACGAGTGCATTCGCAGATAACTGACAGTACACTCAAATTTATAATAGTGCACTCACGTGTGTACACTATTATTTATCTACAAAGGCAACCAACCCACATCGACGACCATTTCGCCGGTGTTATTGGCTGGAATATGGTCGAAGGCCCGCCAGAGATTTGTCATAACTCCAGTGACATGTAATTACATGTCACCAACCGGTTTTTAGGCCTCAATGCTCTAAATTAACATGTTTGAGGGTTTAATTGAAACTTTTAAAAATTTAAGAACTTAATTGTCTTTTTGAATAAAATTCAGGGACTTATTTGACTCTTTTAATCATATATCTTCATATTTTGAAGTTCCAACAACACTTCAAAAATGGCCTATAATTGTTAATTAAAAAATAGAGTTAATACCCAAAATCGTCCTCGACTATAGTGGTTTTTCTCAATTTCGTCCTAAACGACTTTGGTGACCTAATATCGTCCCAGACTTTTGTGTTTCGCTCAATTTAATCATTCATTTGTTATTCCGTCAAATTGGTGTTAAATAAAGGGACAATTCAGTAATGTCAATATTGATCTCTCTTTACTTTCAACTTGTGAAGCGCGGAATTCCTCTTTCTTGTACGAATTACACCCAGAATTACTCCCGAACCTGCAAATCAAATTTTATATCCGCAGTTTTAGGAGTAATTCTGGGGGTAATTCGTAAAAAAAAAAAAGGATTTCGCAGTTCACATGTCTATGAGTAAAGGGATGTCAATATTAAAATTACTGAATTGTCTATTTATTTAACACCAAATGGACAGAATAACAAATGAGGGACTAAATTGAGCAAAAACACAAAAGTCTGGGACTAAATTGAGCGAAACACAAAAGTCTGGGACGATATTAGGTCACCAAAGTCGTTTAGGACGAAATTGAGAAAAATCACTATAGTCGAGTACGATTTTGGGTATTAACTCTTAAAAAATATATAAATAGTAAATATATATATATTCCCACTATGATATATGGAGTATTAAATTATTAATGTGAATAATATCATTCACTTTTCATATAGTAATTATTTTATTGATTAATGCAGAGTGACCATTGGCATAGTAATTGCATGATATTTGGTAATTTTAAGTTTTTAAATATGATATTATTCTATTTTAACATAATCATTGGCAGGCCGGAATCGAAAGTATTGTCATTTTTGTTATCATCGCATCAAATACGTCTAATATCTACAAATGCTTATTAAAGAAGTCATTAAGAATATTTTATTACTAAAAGAGAGATAGATTAAATATATAGTATTATAATTTTTATTCACCTGTTGTTAGTTGCTGATTTTGTTAATAGGATGTGACCACATTTTATGTGATTGTTTTGTAATCTTTTCAGTGGTGTAAAATTTTTAAAAAATAAAATAGAATAGAAACAAATCAAAATATCCATGAAATAACTAATGGATTCTGATAGGGATTATACCCCACAAAATATACTCGTTTGAAAATTCAAACACCGACAAATATAAAAAATGACACACGGAAGTCATTTTCTGAATTTCTAAACGAATCTTAAACTCAAGTATGTGAATTAAAAAATGTTACCTTATTTTTATAAGTATGACCATATTTTATTAAACTAGCCAGAATTTGATTCAATATTTTACAATAATAAATTTAAGTTTGAAATAAATGTCATGTGTATAGTGATTATTAGTCACAGACACATGCATTGTGCAAAACATATTACCCAATTACTGGACATTATTGTTATTATTATTACAAATTTACAATACAAAAATTAAAAAAAAAAAAAAAAAAAAAAAATTTGTTGGCGACTGCCTCCATCGCCGGCAAACCCTCCTCAACGCTATATTGGTTCGGATCTAGGCGAGAAATTGGTTTTCGCCCAGATTCGGACAAAGGAAATCATCTTGGTCTCTGGGCAGGGACCAAGATGGAGGCTGCGGTCATTGTGGATAAATTTTTCTTTTTAATAATAATAATAATAATAATAGTAATAATAATAATAATAATAATAATAATAATAATATGCCAAGTAGGACCTAAATCAACAAAATATTATGAGGTGGTATTCAAATCATCATAGCTTTATATTTACATGTAATAGCAAGTCAAAATGACTCGCTTGCATTATTTTTTTAAGTTCAAAAATATATTTGAAGTTTTTTGTACTTCGATAATCTAATTACACTTTTGAATAATTCAAAGACTTATTTTACAATATTCTTAAAAATTATTTTAAAAAAATTCATACACTAATTAGTGCTTTAATTTATAAATTATACGGAGTATTAGTCATTTCCACCAAAAAAGTTAATAAAATAACATTATATATATCATTATTAGTAAAATTATGTATATATGCATCTTAACATTGCCCGGGGAGGGTCCTGTGAAGTCATATGAATTTGCATAAATTTTTATGTAAAATTATTTGATGAGTTTAATGGACTAGACTAATCGTAAATTGGATAATATAAAAAAATGGTGGTATAATATTAACAATACCCGAGAGGGTCTTAGAATGTCTTAATTGCGTTACAAATAAAGAAATTAATACAAGTAAAAAAAAAAAAAAAAAAAAAAAAAAAAAAAACAAGAAGAAGAAGAGCAAGTCAAGTGTTCATAGTCTCTAACCCCAACTAAGTAGTTAGCTTGCCAAACACACTTCTTTCAGGTGAATGGTGAGAAAGACATGGGACCAAAAGACAAGTGTTGTGTGAAAAGCCACGATGGTGTCTGTAGGGACTAGACTCCCTATTTTATACGAAGTACTAATTGTGGAGCTGAAGAAAGTAGAGAACAAGATATCTAGGATGCCTAGAAATTCTAGGTCATCCACGTATCCCATGAAACTGCCAAATTCTATTGGCAAGCCACTAAACACCAACCAGATCTGCAACCACTATCCTTTCATCCCTGCGCCCTACAACTGTCGACCCCCATTGCCCCTAGTCAAGGTTATAGCTAAGCGGGGAGGGGGACAAATACTCCCCCCCCCCCCCCGCCACCCCACCCCTCTGATCTCTTTCCCCTCCTTCCCTCTTTGTTCTTTTTGGACTTTTGTCCCTTCCACTCCATTTTGCCAAAAGGATCCCAATAAGTTTATCATGTTCATCTTACTTTTCTCATCTTTACACCTTACGACCCTAAATTTTATGTCTTGTCAGACGTTAACTTCTAAATTTTTCTCCCTTTTCACTTTATACTTATCTCTTTCGTCTTTACACTCTCACCCCTTTAATTGTGGAGCTGAAGAAAGTAGAGAACGAGTTATCTAGGATGTCTAGAAATTCTAGGTCATCCATGTGTAGTGACGTGTCCCATGAAGCACCAAATTCTATTGCCAAGCCACTAAACACCAACCAGATCTCCAACCACTATCCTTCCATCCTTGCGCCTTACAACTGTCAACAACCCACCGCCCCTAATCATGGTTACAGCTAAGCGGGGCCAAAACACCCTCCTCCTCTCTCTCTTCTTTTTGGACTTTTGTCCCTTCCACTCTATTTTGCCAAAAAGGACCCTAATAAATTTATCATGTTCATCTTACTTTTATCATCTTTGCACCTTACGACCCTACATTTTATGTCTCGTCACACTTTTAACTTCTAAATTTTTCTCCTTCTTCACTTGATACATATCTCTTCCGTCTTTACACTCTCACCCCTTTAATTGTGAGTTGAAGAAAGTAGAGAACAAGTTATCTACGATGTCTAGAAGTTCTAGGTCATCCACATGTCCTTTGAAGCCGCCAAATTCTATTGCCAAGCTACTAAACACCGACCAGATCCCCAACCACTATTCTTCCATCCCTGTATCCTACAACTGTCAACTCCCCACCGCCCCTAGTCGAGGTTAAAGCTAAGCGTGGGGGCCAAAATACCCATCTCTCTCTTCTTTTTGAACTTTTGTCCCTTCCACCCCATTTCACCAAAAGGACCCTAATAAATTTATCATGTTCATCTTACTTTTTCTCATCTTTGCACCTTACGACCCTACATTTTATATCTTATCATACTTTAACTTTTAAATTTTCTCCTTCTTCACTTTATATATATCTCTTCCGTCTTTACACTCTCACCCCTTTAATTGTGGAGTTGAAAAAAGTAGAGAACGAGTTATCTACGATGTCTAGAAATTCTAGGTCATCCACATGTCCCTTGAAGCCACCAAATTCTATTGCCAAGCCACTAAACACCAACCAAATTTCCAACCACTATCCTTCCATCCATGCGTCCTACAATTGTCAACTCCCCATCGCCCCTAGTCGAGGTTACAGCTAAGCGTGGGGGCCAAAATACCCATCTCTCTCTCTCTCTCTTCTTTTTGAACTTTTGTCCCTTCTACTCAATTTTACCAAAAGGACCCTAATAAATTTATCATGTTCATCTTCCTTTTCTCATCTTTACACCTTACGACCCTACATTTTATATCTTATCACACTTTAACTTTTAAATTTTATCCTTCTTCACATTATACCTATCTCTTCCGTCTTTACACTCTCACCCCTTTTAACTTTCCACCTTATCACATTTCAAATCTAACATTTTCACCCCTTTTAACTCTACCTCCAAATTTGCGCAGATAACTTTCTTCTCTTCCTAAGTCCTGAAAGCCTCACCTATAAATTCAGGCCTAACTCCCATAACTTCACTTCCAAGCCCAATTGACATTGGCTCAGGCGCATTCCTCCATCACTTTTAAATTTGTGTAAACTTTTTTACTTAAAAAGACACTGCACGACTCTGCACTTTCTTTCCTTTTCTTTTATCATTTGAAAAGCTTCTCTGCTCACAAAATACAAAACCAAAGACTCCTTTTCCAGTTCTCCCCCACCCTCTGCTGTCAAACATTTCTCCGACACCATGTCTCCAATGAGATAGGAGAAGAATTCTTGGTTTTCTTGGGAAAAAAAATTGAGTCTTTGCAATTGAAGATGACATGTTTATCCAGGCTTTGATAATCGAGGACTGGGGGGGTTTTTTTTTTCTTTGATTTTTTAAGGGGTCGCAATTTGTGAGAGAAAGAGAAAGTGGGTAAGATAGATATAAGGTATGGAATCACCACAGAGCCCAGGGCAGCAAATACGATCGGTGACGGATATGAGAGGGAAGCATCGGATTTCAGCTGAATTGAAGCGGCTAGAGCAAGAGACTCGATTCTTGGAGGTATCTCTCTCTCTCTCTCTTTCTCTCTCATCAAAGTTTTTATTTTTATTTATTTGTTTTATTGCTGTTTACAGGATAGTTCAGAGATTCTGTGTGTTCTTAAAATGGGTCTTTGTTGTTTTTAGTGCGTTATTCAAGTAAAGTTACAACTGTTGTAAACAGTGAAAAGTCTTGTATTTCTTGAAATCTGAGGAAAGCTAAGAAATTAACATAGTTGACAAATGTTTGGATTTGTGGTATTTAGGTGATAATAATGGTCTTGCAGGCTTTGAATGAGAGGTGAAAGGTTGGGGTGTTTTCAAGAATGGAATCTTGTTCATTGATGAGTTGAATTCTCATTTGTTAGGATTAGTGGAATAGTTTGGACTTGGTGAAGACTTTAAGAGCTTAAAGAACAATAACTGATTTCTGCGTGATAAACAAGTGTGTTAGTTGCTTCAAAGAATCTCTTAAGTTTACATTGCCACAGGAAAGGCTAAAATTTGGGGAGGCAAGTTTGCTTGGGGCTTGCTAACAAAAAAAAAAAAAAAAAAAAACATCCTAGTATACTCAAAGGTGACGAAGACTCCTTGTACGCAGAGTGTACAGGTAGGGATGAAAACTGAGTACTGATTGGGCGACTCGCGATTTACCTCCTCTAGCGTTCTTGGGCAAGAGCCAGGAGTTCTGGGGGCTTAGGATTAGTCTAGCGGAAACTGAGAAACCTAATGTATTAAAAAAAAACATCTTAGTAAAATATGGGTATATCATGTTATATCATTCACCAGCTGAGATGAATGGTCTCCCTCCTCCTAAGAGCTAAGAACGAGAATTAGGGAATGAAACTTGTCTAGAAGCAAACAACAATGAAATGAACTGTGGGCTAAAGCTCTTGGCTTTTTTTCTTTTCTTTTTTCCAGAAGGGTGTGTGCATTTCTTATTGGCTATTTATATTGATTATTGAAATGTATGTGCTATCTGTATTCTAGTGTCGGTATATATTTGATGAAAGTTGCATATATAGATGAACTCTTGAACAGGCAATCGGGTTATATGAAACCTTGTTAGCTACATTTCTTTGTCGTTCTCCAACGTGTCTTAAGAATAACATTTGGTGCATGTAAAAAGAACGTGAAGTTTTATTCATGTAAAATATTATACAAATTTATATTGGCATCCTGCACTTGTGTAGTTGGCAAGTGGCTAAATCAGGTATGGTCAGGTTCTCTATACTCTTTACTTTTGCTTGCTTCTCTTGAATGTTATTTGATTTAGAAATTAGTTTATAGCTTTGTGATGATGGGTAACTTGTCCAGGAAGAACTGGAAAAGCTGGACAGAATGGAAAAGGCCTCGGGTGCTTGCAAGGAGTAAGTAACAAAATGATGTTTAGATTAGCATTACTGCATTTGATGGGTAGTATCAAGTTTCTAACTTGAATGTTTTACATGGAATTCAGGATGTTAAAAATGGTGGAAACAAGAGCAGATCCACTACTCCCCCAGTAAGAATAATAATATCCTTAATTCCGTGTGAAATGCTTGTTAGTTAGTTTATTGTATTGTAATGTGTGTCATATTGTGTATTGAAGTATATTCTCTGTTTGTACCAGAACGAATGGTCCAATAAATCCTTGTTGGGACCGGTGGTTTGAGGGACCCCAGGATGCATCTGGATGTAGATGTTTGATACTGTGATCAAGGGACCCTTGCCTCATTCCTTCAATTTCATCAATTTGTACCTCACACAACTACTCCGTATGTTGTAGTCTGATAGATATCAAGTTTGAATTGTCTCATATCAATGTGCAGAAAAATGAATTATTGCTGTCTTTTTTTCTTTTTTACATTCTAAAGTAGAAAAAGTTCATCAAGACTCACATAACTTGCTTGGTTATGCTTCTTTCAAGTTTTTTTTTTTTTTTTTTTTTTTTTTTTTTTTTTTTTTTTTTTTTTTTAATTTAAAAAAAAAAATTGGTAGTTTTGGTCCTTTAGTTGTGAGCAAATTAGTAATTCACTCCTATAATAGCATCACCAATAATTGATGACGGTGGTTTTTTTTTTTTTCAAATTTCTTCTCCTGTAAAATCAAAATTTTTGTGAGACATATTGACAGGGAAATGGGAAATGTCGCATAGCTTGTGTGTGGAAATGCATGCACCATGTTGGGTGCATATTTTTTTTTCTCCTCTCTTCTATATGGCACTGTAAAAATCACCCAAATTTTTTTATGGTTGAGGTTATTATAAGATGATGATAGAAAAGTTAATTTTGACTCTTAAGTATTTAAAAATCTACTTTTCAATATTAAGTTTTGTAAGCTTGAAGTATTTTTCTCACTAATAAAATTAAATTTGCACCTTAAAAAAACATAAACTATTATATATTTAGAGAAGAATGCTACAAAAGTTTACAAAAATTACATTAAAAATAATAACTTTAAACATTTAACCGTGAAATTATATTTAATATTCTTATTATTTTAGAAACAAATTCCCTTACAATTTTGATGATACGACTGAATTTGATTATTTGTCCATAGTTGACGATGCAAAACTAATTATTTTCCATATTATTTTTAATAATCTTCATCAACCACAACATTGTCACACAAAAAACAAAAAAAAAAAAAAAAAAAAAAATTGAGGAATTAGTGAAAATGGGGATCCTCGGGATTATTTTAGAAACAAATTCCCTTACAATTTTGATGATACGACTGAATTTGATTATTTGTCCATAGTTGACGATGCAAAACTAATTATTTTCCATATTATTTTTAATAATCTTCATCAACCACAACATTGTCACACAAAAAAAACAAAAAAAAATAAAAAATTGAGGAATTAGTGAAAATGGGGATGCTCGGGAGGCGAGGATTGGTAACCGCCGAGCATGTTTCTGCATGCCGGCAGCACTCCCTTCAAACCTCCCAGGGGTGTGTGGGTCAACTGCGGTGGCCTCACGTAGGGCATCGGTGTTTCATTTTTTGTCGGGGAAACACCGGACAAACACCCCATGGTTTCAAGCCCTGTTTCCAGGGTGGTTTAGGGTTTGGTGTTGCGTGAGGAACCACCGACCCCACATCCCACCAGTTTGTTCCCATTCCCTAAACTCCCTCATAATATACTGGAATCTCTTCTTTACAACAAACGGTGTGGGACAAATAAAAATTCATTTCAAAACATATATAGTGCATCTCTTCAAAAATGGATTACTTGAACACTTCCCTAGTTCCCTATAACCCTTCAACTGAAACATTGTAGTATGGGCTTCCATGTTTACTTAAAGTACCAAAAAAAAGGGCAACTACATTTGATTATAATGGATGTATGGTTACAGACCAAGCAAGTAATTTACGGTACCTTTGAACGCCTCTAGCTTTGTGCTTTGCCAGTAACTCTCTGTGCGATCCACTCCAAACCATCATAGAGGCCATCACCAGTAAGGGCGCAGCTGGCTTGGATGTGCCAATCGTGGTTTTTAATGCTGTGAAGAGAAATAGCATCGGTTATCTCTGCAGGAGTCATGGCTTCTTTGAGGTCTTGCTTGTTTGCGTATACAAGCACAACAGCATTCTGCAAATCTTCATGTGGGAGCAGATTGAACAGTTCGTCTTTTATAATGGAAATTCGGGCTCTGTCTGTACTGTCTATGACTACAATGACAGCATTAGTTCCTCGGTAGTAGGTTGCCCATGAAGTCCTGAGCCTCTCTTGCCCGCCAAGATCCCACACCTGGTAAACAATAACTAATACATTAGCAAATTAGTTAGACCGGTCCAGGGAATGGCTAGAACAACAAGTGTAAGCAATTTTTAACATCCAAATTAAATATGAATGCAGTCCCAACTTCTAATCATTCATTCTACTAACATGTTGAAAAGACAAGTGAGAATACTAAATCAGTATTCTTTTTACAGCATAGGCAAATGGATGCAGAAAACTAGAAACAGGAAAAGAGGTATAGGTAATTGAGAGTAATGGCAACGCATGCATTTTTATATTCCATGAATGTACGAACACCAGTGCAGCCAATATTTTTCTTACAGTGCCTCTAAAGCCAAACCATTCCACAAGCAAACAAGTTGCAAAATCAAGTTTCCCGCAAGTACACAAGAGCCATTGCCATCTGCAGGAGAGGAAACCTATTCACTCTAGTTCAACAGTATCCTTCATCTTGATCTTCTGATGGGACAAAAGGCTTGAGTGCTAGACACACTCACAAATGAAAATGTACCGTCCTCACCCAACCAATAAAAACAGGATAAAGAAAAACCTAGGAAGGATCAGCATTCAGATATGAGACTAACAACAGAACCTGCTTCAAGTTTCAGTGTAATACATTAATATGATTCCCTGATTCTCAAAGGTTAGAGCACAACCCTTCCGAATTCCAGAGTACTATTTCACACAAGCAGTGTTTTTTTCATGATGCCATGATTGTCTTTGTCTTCAAGTATCAATAAAAAAAGAAGCAATCCCCATTGGCCGCCACTCCCTTATCTTGTCAGGCGGAGGCAGCTTTGCATTTAAACCCTATTTGACCCCAGAACTCTTCTGGAGAAATCAACATTCAGGAAAACACAAAAATCTTTAGAGTCACAGCAATGACAGCATGCTTAAGCATCAGTAACCCTCATAAGTGAATATAATTGTCATTTGGCATGTACCTCTAAACTTTGTTTTCCAGCATTGTAAGTGACTAAAAAACCTCCAAACCATATCAGAATACATGAAACACTCTACAACTATGAGCGCATGTAAGTTAACTCTTAAGTGTCATTTGAATCATCACCAGCATTAAGCTAGAGCTTGAGCCCTCATGAAACTATTACCATGAAGGCTAACATTTCAACCTGTGTCACCTCTATGGCTCTATCCTTTCTCTTCAGCATATGCTAACAGGTTAAGACTTATAGTTGTAATGAAGCTATCAGATGGCACAGGTTGAAGTTCATCATCATAACCATCAAGTGCAAAATTGGTGTGCAAACCAGGTGGTATGTGAAGTTATTTACAGATACAAGTCAAGTGACCACCACATAATCAATACAGATAGCATGCATATTTTCTCAAATTATTTTTACCATAAGACTCCTAACTACACAAATGTATTAAAAACCCAGCATTCTAAGTAATAGGAACTTGATTCTTTAATGCTTCTTTAATTTTATTTTTCTTTATTTTTGGTAGGTAATTATAGGAACCTGATATCAGCATTTTTAAAATTTATATTTGGGTAATAATAGGAACTTTCTATTAGAACTCCCTTTACAAAACTCATAACATAAGAAACAAAAAGATCAGCATACAAAGTTGCCTGATATATATATATATATATATATATATATATATATATATATATATATATATATATATATATATATATATATATATATATATATATATATATATATATATATATACCTATCTACCTACCCCACTACCATCTACACTCATAATGTCGGAGGATTTGAACCCAGCTTTTGATTCCCTATCCTCTAGTGTCTGAGGATGGCAAGTTAGCCAGCTACACCCCCGGCCTATATAATTGTGTCCATTATATATATATAATATAAAAGCTGTAGAAGACTACACAAATGATGCAATAGTAACCAATAAGGAACAAAACCTAGAGTGAATCAAACTCAATCTATCCTTCGTGGGATGGGAACCAGAATGAAAATTCTCTTTAGCCTTTCATTATGATACAAATTCAAGGATACAGTTTTCTCCATTACGAAGCATATAGAAATCTTCTTAGTTCTTACAATCATCAATCTGAATATTATGACATTTCCTTCTCGATGTTACATAGAAAATCAATGTATATAAAAAGGATTCCTTCTCCGCCATCATGATAACACAATACAAATATCACTTCACGAGCAATATCTATCCAAAATTTATTGGAACACAATTCATTGAAAATTTGACAGGTCAATCAAGATATAAAGCAAACGTTGCATCCAATAGAGAGAAGGATTGAATGAAATAGAAAAAATATTTTAAAAATAAAATAAAATAAAATCACAAACATGATGAAAACAACACTAGATATGATCAAACCTCGAATCGTATATTTTTGTAGACTAGCTCCTCAACGTTACTGCCAACAGTAGGATGAGTAGTGACCACCTCTCCCAAATGTAACTTGTAAAGCGTCGTCGTTTTTCCGGCGTTATCCAGGCCGACGACCACGATCTTGTACTCATTTGCCGGGAACAGCATGAACCAGAACCGGGAAAACATCGCCCCCATATTTGGCCTACTGGATTCACAGAGAATGCTTGTATCTAATCCGGATTACACAGAGATCTGATGGGAAAATACTAGCGTCAGGATTTGGCATTGAAATTCGATCTGGTACGGTGGAGAATGGAGATAGATGTTATTTTGATTTCATTTTTACCCCCGCGATGAAGAAAAGTGCTCAAAGTAGAATAGAAATATTAATTTCATAAAAATTTATTATATGAAAACTACAATACGAATTTAATTATTGAGCTATTGGTAAAATACGGGTTCTTTGGAAATTGATAAAAAATTAATTTTAGAAGTCTTTTTTTTTTTTTTTTTTTGAAATCTACATTTAGAATTTTTTTTTTTTTTGAAAGGTCTATATTTAAAATTTTGGGTATTCAACGAAAATAAAGTCACATAAAATATTTATTTTAATCAATGAAAACAATATTTAATTTATCATAAAATATCTTTGTATATTTTTAGTCCAATTATATTTTTTTGAATTTGTTATCATGTCTATCTCTTCCCTCTTCAAATTACTTTTCGAATTATTATTACCATTACCAGTATCACCACCACCACAATGTTTATTTTCAGAAAAAAAAAAAAAAAAAAAAAAACCTAACTTTCGGCCAAATAACAAAAATATAATTTAATGACATTTGCCAAACATCATAAAACTCAAGTATTTTTTTCAAAAAATGGGTCATTTTTTGTAAATCATTTTTCAAAAAATATTTTTCAAGTTTCTAACATGACTTGAAATTATTCTCTTCTTTTTTTAATATAAATAAATCATCAAACTTTTAAAAAGTTTCAACAAAACTCTTCAACTAAAAAATAAATGTAATTGACTCCTTTTTTCAAGTAATCAGCATATAGGTCTTAATTTTAATATTGTGTATTGTGTATATCTCATATGTTATTGGAATATGATAGATGGCAGAGCGTAGCATAACTAAGTGACAGTACATGTCTCTGACTCTCCATAGATCAAACTAAAACCATGTTTGTTAAATGGGTATGGGTGCGGGGCCAACACGGCAACGCCCCACGACATGATGCAGAACCCTCACTAAACTCCCAAAACATATTGGGAAAACTCACTATAGTCGATGACCATCTTGGGTATTAACTCTTTATAAATATTATAATAAGTTAATGGCATCCAAGGTCCTCCGAGTTTGATTATTTTGCCACATTTAGTCATAAACTTTCAAATCAATCACCCGTGGTCCTCCGATGTTTGAATTTAGATATCGTAGTCCTTTCGTTAACATCTGTCGCCAGTGTCGTGAAAAAATAAGGGCAAAAGAATCTTTTTATGTCCAACCTAGGAAAATTAATTGATTTCCCACAAGAATTAGCCCTAATATCCGGAGATTCGGGCTAATTCTTGTGGGAAATCAATTGTTTTGACTAGGTTGAACATTAAAAAAAAAAAAAAAAAAAAAAAAAAAAAAAAACTCTTTTGCCCTTACTTTTCTCGACGCATACGGCAGACGTTCTGAGAGATTAAGGCTAATTTAATTTTATTATTTAAATGGGTATGGGTGCGGGGACGCTTTTACCCTTACTTGATGTTCTTGAACCTTTCACTATATATATATATATATATATATATATATATATATATATATATATATATATATATATATATATATAATAATAATAATTATTATTATTATTATTATTATTATTATTATTATTATTATTATTATTATTATTCTTATTTGAGGTATAAATGGTACCGAAGTATATTTGGAAATAAATTGTTAAGTAGAGAGTACTAAGTTCAGAGTGTGTGTCCTTTGTTGTTACATGAGATAAGCTTGTATACTAGTGATAACTATTACAATATTAATGGGCGCAACGACCACCAAATAAGTGCAACGACTTTCCCTCACTAAGTATCACAACAAGTATCACGACTCCTTAGTAATTGTTGTGCGTTCTCTTCCATAACGTATGCTATTTATGGGTCGGTGCTCCAATTAGTGCGATGTGCTCTGCCTTAAGTGCATTGTTCCACATGCTCTCTGTTCGGACGCACTTGCCCAATTATCATGTCATTATTATTATTAAGGTTATAGATATATTATATTGTATTTAGATTTTGGATATGTTATATTTCGTAATTGTGTATTTATGTTTTTATTTGCACGAAAATTATTTAAATATTATATTTAATATTTTGATTGTTATTGAGAATTAATGAATGTTTTTTTCCTTTAAGATTAAACATTTAATATTAAAGATTTGTTTTACTTAAATATTATTAATTATATTAGTTTGATTGAAGACAAGATTATGATTCCCACAAAATTCCCGCAAGAACAAAAATGGAAAAAAAAAATTAACAAAAATAAAGATCTAGGTGGGATTTTAAGGACGAGAACAAAAACGAGAAATATACTCATCGCCCATTCCATTGTCATTCTTAATTTTTAAAATTGCCTCCTAAAAACGTGAAAAGCCCAATACTAGCTTAGGGCTTATAAGCACCTATCTATTCGCACCTGTTAATTGTTATACCATGGAGCAAGATTCACCTTATATGAAAACTATTTTTAGTATTGAAATTATAAACATTTAGAATATAAATTATGTTTCTAAGTTTTAAAAATTTATAAATATAATATGTGATTATTACAAATTATAAATTTTTAAAATGTAAATTATGAAAATTTAGTATATATATTGTGTATATTTACAAGTTGGACCCGAGTAATAATTTGCAATCTATTGAGTATTAGTCTATTTTTTGGGAGAAGAGTTCCTATTTTCTTTGGGGGACAAAACTGACAGCAGATAAAATAGAGAGCAGTAAAATGCTGAAGAGAGAGCAAGGCAAGCAAAGCGGAGGCCCCGGTGGCTCCGCCCCTCCGCCGGCGAAGAGAGGCCGCCCAGTCGGCAGTGGAAGCAACCAAGCCGCTGCAGCCGCCGCAGCCGCCGCGGCCGCTGCCATAGCAGCTGCTGCTGGAGCTACTGATCCGGCTGCTCCCCCAACGCTCGCCGGTCCTTCTCTCCAAGTTCATCCCGCCTTCGCTGGTTAGTGCCATTGGAGCCACACTTTATCGTATATACTCTCGTACACTACCTGTAGTTGTAGAATTTGAAGTTTTGAACCACTGTCTTCACTTTCATAGGTGAATCAAGCTAGGAGTTTTTTGGATTGAAACCTAGCTCAGTAATCTATCTCTCGAAAAAAATAACTGGAATTAAAACCAATTCAACTTAATTATATACAGTTTCAGTTGAATTAAAACCTAGCTCAGTAATCTCTCTTGAGGTTCATTGCATTGTGTGCTTGTTCCGAGTGCAAAACTGAAGTGATCAGACCAGACAAAAATAAAGTTTTATGCTTTTTACCCTGTGAAACTCTTTTGCATTCTTCAATCTATGACTTTAGTGCATCTCTTGACAGTAGCAACTTTGTTAATTGAAAATAGTTTTAAAGTGTAAATATTTAGTCCTACAACTTTAACACCATTGACAGTTTATTTCACTCCACAAGTATGTCAAATTTATCCTATGACTATCATTTTCTTTCCAATTTTAGTCCTTCCGGCCATAAAACCAATTAAAACTCACTGGAGCTTCACTTTTTCAAGGGTATTTTGGACCATCACCTCAGCTAACCTACTTTCCCTCCAAATGCCACACTCAATCTGAGAATTGGATTCCCTACTCCCACTATTTCATGTGCCGCAACCCATATCCAAACCAGAATCAATTTCACATTCCCATTATGCTGCTTACCAGAGCCCCAACCCGAAATGGATTCCCCAGTCCCATGATGTTAAGTGCTAGAGCCAGTGCAAAAAGAGCCCCACTGGCATGAACCTACTGAATTTCAAAAATCATACAAGAGCTAATCTTCAGCTGGAAGGTGCATCAGACTTGGGGCCCGGTTCTGCAGCTAAAAACATCGTCACGAGCCAGGTTAAGATCCTTAAACATGGAGAGCAATTTGCTGTCTCTGATTTTGGACACAACGATGACATCATAATGCAAATCTTCTCTTCTCATGGATCAGGTGGTGGTCACTGGAATGTGGAGGAAATGCTGGTTCTCTGTTCTATTGAAGAACTGGGACTGACGCTGGAGGCCGTGCAAAAGCAAATTAAGTTGCCGAATTTGTCTGCATTTTTTATTTCACCTCTGCCTATTCCGAAATTCTTTTGAATATTGTATACGGTGCAATGCCTAGTTCTTAGTGATGTGTGGCATAAGGCATTTGGAGGGAAAATGGGTTAGTTGCAGACTTGCAGTGATCGACCAAAATTCCCTTAAAAAAGTGAAGCTCCGTTGAGTTTTAATTGGTTTTATGGCCAGAATGACCAAAATTGGAAAGAAAATTATAGTCATTAGATGAAATTTGACAAGAACGATACTCGTGGACTAGAACTGTGAATGGTGTTAAAGTCGCAAGACCAAAATTGGTATTTATTTTTAAATATGGAGTATATGAAAAGTATGAGATGACTATTTTATTGCAAGTTGTCAAAGTTAGGTCCTTAGGTGGTAAATTCATTATTTGGCTCCAGACTGTTACCTGTTTTCCTAAATTATTTGTACTTATTTTCCTAGAGCTGAACTATAAAAGGATTGTTCTGGCTCTTCAAAGTGGATTAAAGAGTGAGCTGACATGGGCATTCAATACTCTCACATTGCTTTCATTCAAGGAAAAAGATGAAATTCGCAGAGATACAACCCCTCTTGCCAAAATTCCTGGGTTGCTTGATGCTTTACTTTACATTGTAAGTCTTGTGTCTAAAATACTGTGCAGTGTACAACTAACCATCCAAAACAACCCCCCTCAGCGAAGTGTGGGGCTTAAAAAATGTATGTGCATACTGATGGGTGTGATATTAACAGATAGATGAGTGGCGTGACATAGCCTTACCAAGGGTGCTTGTGAAAGCACCTAGGGTGAGACTCTTGGGTGCTAATTCTTTTGTTACTGGATTTGGAAATGAATACGAGGCCTTGGGGTCAAAGGATTCTGTTACTCAACCTAGGTAACTTTTCCATGTTTGTGCTTAATTCTTAAAATCTTAATTTTTGAGTATATAAGATTCCCTCTGTGGAGTAGCAATGTCATCCAGTTGATCCTTAAACTGCAGCTCTGGATCTGGATCTTCCAACAAAGAGACATCTGGTCAAAAGACTGCTGCCAAAACCCGTCCTTCTGGTTGGTGGTTTGAAGAAGATGGCCTATTTAGCTTGGATGAGGAAGGACGGGCTGAAAAGCAGCAATGTGCTGTTGTTGCATCTAATATTATTCGCAACTTCTCTTTCATGGCAGATAATGAAATTATCATGGCTCAACATCGACATTGCATGGAAACCCTATTTCAGTGTCTTGAGGATTATGTTCTAGGTGAGAGCATGTGTTGAACCTCCACTGTTGCATGTTTTTTTTGTATTGTGATTGTTTGACCAGTGATTCATCATGCGATTTTTGGTTTGATATAACTAAGATTATTTCTACTCTTTAAAATTATTCCAATGCTTTTGAGACTTCTGATGTTAACAGAGGATGAGGAGCTTGTCACAAATGTCCTTGAGACTATTGTCAATGTAGCCCATTTGCTAGATCTTCGAATTTTTAGTTCATCAAAGCCTTCTGTACTCAACATGAGGTACACGCATTTTATTATGTTTTATATTATTCTGATATTGGGTCTGATCTAATTCTTTTGGTTACATAATGCAGGGAGAAACGTGCTGTCCAGGCTATAATGGGCATGCTGGGATCTGCTGTCAGAGCCTGGCATTGCGGCGCTGCAGAACTAATTGGCCGTCTGATTTTAAATCCTGATAATGAACCATTCCTTCTTCCGTTTGCTTTACAGGTTGCTTTATTATTCATCACTAAATCTCAATTGTGAATGCTTTCAAAATGCAATGATAATGAATCTATAAGATGTGCAGATATATAAACGATTAGTTGATATCATGAGCCTACAAGCAAATGATGCTCAGGCTGCTGCTGTGGGTGCATTGTACAACCTTGTGGAAGTAGATATGGACTGCCGACTGAAGCTTGCCAGTGAACGATGGTGAGATGAATTTAAGACATTCTTACATATGCAGCTTAAGATTTGTATTTAAGCATAATGACGACATCCGTTTCTTTGAACTCTAGGGCAATTGATCGATTGTTGAAAGTGATTAAGTTGCCACACCCAATCTCGGAAGTTTGCAGGAAAGCAGCCTTGATTTTGGAGTGCCTTGTGGCAGAGCCACAGAACAAACCCCTTCTGCTTATATATGAAACCGCATTCACTGAGATGCTTTTTGCTGATGGAAAGCATTCCGATATATTTGCTAGGATATTGTCTGAACTAACATCTCGATCAGGCAAAGCAGCATTTGCTCGGGGTATTTGGGGCATGTAAGTACATATATTATGCTTTCTGTGCTGACATTCTGCTTAACTTAGCTATATGCATAGATCAGGTGGCTCACATAGTCACATGGTCGCATGTTTTCAAGACCCCATTATGTTAAATCTCTATGCCTTTCCTTATAGCAGATTGCATAAGATTAAGCTAGTGTAAATCATAAGAAGAAAAACCCAGGATTTGTATTTGTATTTTTCGAACAGAAGTCTGTAGCTACATTAATTCTTTTCCATCCTATTTGTTAACATAGCTATTACTAGAATGTGATTATTTCTGTGTTGCATGACTGTTACAATGTTAGTTACTCTAAGAACATCCTTGATCTGATAGGATTCTTATACAGTTATACTTAGATTTATCATTCTAAGAGCATGCCAAAACACTGCTTTGCACACGAAGTTTGCTTCAGATTGTGAGGAACTGAACTGCAATCTTTGAATTGCTGTGGTCCTATCTGGGATTCTTCAGCTATCTAAGCCAATCTAGATTGTCTGAACTAGTACAATTCAAATAAGAAAAGTGGCAGTTTTGGTCCTCTAGTGGTAGGCAAATAGTTCAATTTCTCTATTATGCAGGTCATTTACATTTGGCCTATGAGATGTCAAGGTTGTGGCTGAATCTGTTCCTAATGTAACGAAAATGTTGATTTTGATTGTTAAATTCTCAAAATCTTTTAACTTTTTAAGATTATTTTTGTAAAATTTAAGTGTCATTTTCCTAAAGAAAATCAATTTGAAATTTAGAAGCAAAGTGGTAAATTGGAGATTTTTTCTGGAAAAATAGGAAATTGGACAATTAGAAAAATGACTTGAAAACTAAAATCAATTCTTAAAAGACAAATTAAAAAAAAAAAAACAATTAGAAAACAGTGCTTAAAAGACATGTTTTCTGTTTTTTTCATTTTTGTGGTTACTAAGCTTTTAATTTACTTTATTTGTATAAGAAATCTTTTAAGTACAAGACAACTTCGCATCAATACATCATCAATGGTTAAAGAATATAATTGAGTTTCCAGATATGTTTTTTCGGATCAAATTATTGGTTTTGTTGTTAAGTAAGGTGCAAGTTGATGAAAAACAGTTGATAGGTAACTTTTATGAATATATTATATTGAGTGACACTCTTGTGAGACTCTCTCACAAATTCTTATTCGTGAGACGGGTCGGTTTAAGATTGAAATGTAATACTTATACTAAAAAAATTTATACTCATCAAGAATAAAATGTTTTTTATTTAAGAAAAAATGTAATACTTTAAATCAAAATGTAAGAGTATTACATTTTTCTTAAAAAAATATCACTTTCCCTTCTAAGTACTCCATAAGAAACACTTTATTCTGATTAGTATTATATTTTTCAGTATAAGTATTACATTTTCATCTTGACCCGACTCGTTTCGTCTCACGGATCCTTTCGCATAAGTTTTGGTCTATTATATTTTGATTTATGTTATAGTTTAAAACTCATAATATATGTACATTATTAGGGAAAATAATAATTTGCCATTTCTGCATAGGCATTGCCTTTTCCCCTAATTGTTAAAATAAGTAACCTCAATGAAGTGTTCATATAACATTTCACCTCCATGTTGTAAAGTTAAATTCTACAATGCAATTCTAGAGTCTAGACCTGCTTGAGAACAGGTTCTAACAAGCAAGAGGAAGAGAGTAACATGTAAAAACAAAACATGGTCTAAGGACTAAGGAGTCCATCCACAAAAGTGCATGTTTCAAACTTGACCTTTGTGTGACCATGCTGTTTGATCCAACTCAAAGCTTCCCTCACAGCCATAGCCTCCGCCTCTCTAGGGGAGAACACACCATGCCAAATCTATTAGCAAGTATTTTAGCTAATATCCCGTATATCACATTGCACAAGGCACTTGGTCTTAAATCTCCCATCCCTTCCGGTTTTGTCTCCTTTGAAATCAAAACTTGTGTATCATTCAGACCTAGGGGTAATTGACCACTGATAAGGATGTTATTACACATTTTTACCATATCTGATCTCACAATATCCCATAATACTTGGTAGAAGCCAGGATTAAGTATGTCCGGTCTCAGGACTTTGTCCGGATGCATGTTGAAAGTTGCAGCTTTGGCTTCTTCCATTGTGATGACTCTTATTAGACCTCTTATTCTGCTGCTCAGTAATAATTGTAGAGAAATTTTTGAGTACATTATGCATATCACCAGGAGAGGACGAGAATAGATTCCTGAAATAAGAGATTATAAGTTCAGAAAGTTCTAAGCCTTTACTTATCCACACACATTATACTAATGCACTTTTGTTAGGCTTCAAATAATCCTAGATGTAGAACTACTGTTGCAATAGATATATAAGCATTTTATTTACTTAGAGTTTATGCACCAAATATGATATAAATATAAGTTAGCAAACAATGTTCTTTGCATTAATAGTTAATCAATTTTAATATGTCATATAAGTTTATATTCAATGGTAATCAAAAGACAATCTGATTTGATAGTTAATCAATTTTAATATATTAATAATTTTTTTTGAAGATAATATATTTATAAATTTAATACACGTAAAGTTGTGTTTGTATTTGTCCTTTGAATATAATGTCAATTTAAATATTGTTATTAATTTCTAACTTTAATGCGTTTCGTTGCCAAGGACCTTGTAGTCCAATGACACCAAGTCCCTTCCTTATAAGGGAGGTTGTGGGATCAAGCCTCAGAGAAAAAAATGCGTTAAATTCAAAATACTTTTGCCATGACTTTATTGCAAAATTACATGTTTTTATATTTTTATATATTTTTGACATTTTTAATTAAATATGCAATAATTTTGAAACAGAAGACTATAGTGTAATTCTCATACAATATCCCAATGCATTAATAATAAATTTAAGATTACTAGTGTAATTTTTGAAAGATATTAGATGTGTTTATAATAAATTTATTATGATTATATAGATAAAATTATACAATTGTTTATTTAAAGGTTATTTATATCCGTGTATTGTTTTCTCACTTTTAGTAGTGGGTCTTAGTCGTAAAGTTGGAAGGATTAAAAACAAGGGGTTACATTTTGTTTGTTCTCATTGCGATATTTATGTGCATAGCAACAAAAAGTTCCTTTAAGAATAACCAAGAGGCTACCGGCAGCAAGAAGGTGACAATGCGGTGAATAGTAGCAATGAGACTTAAATGGAAAGGATCAAAGGAATGTGATAATAGGGAGAACACCATAACTAGACCCGAGGTCATAGAAAGATTCAACCCGTGGAATAATGGCTACTTGCACGAAGCAACAACCAAACAATAGCCAATGAAGGAAAAGGGTTTCAAACTGAAATAAGCAAAAAGGTGAGGTGAAATAAGAGAGAGGGCAGGAGGTTGAAGAAGAGACTTGTAGAAAAGGGAAAAGAAATCTAGTGGTTCATTCATATAAAATTGCATAAAGAACATGGATTCACGCTCATGGCTTCTCAGTTCTCATTGCTTAGCACTCCCGCCTAGATGGGCAGACGTCCTCAGTCCCTCACCATTCACAGAGTTGATGCCTCATAGTTGACGAGGCGAAAAAAACTGAAAATGTCATCTAGTTGCTGGCTCGTCGCACCTTCAAACCCTTTAGTCCAAGTCTTCGATCAATCATTGTATTCAAGTCTATCAACTATAATAATGTAATAATATACATGCATCTATCTATTTTATAGTCCATAGATCTATTTGGTTTAAAGTTTGTAATTGTAAATTGTTGTTTTGTAAAATTAAAGGTTAGAATTTAATGTGTTTTAATGTTTAAAATCTAAGTGTTAAATTTCACATTTTCATATTATATTTATTGTTTTTATTTTTAAAAAGTCATGTTTACAATTTTAGATTTGTAACGTAACATATTTGAGTTGTGTAGGAGCTTATTAGGTAATTGCCACTTCGGTTATTTTTGGTTGATAAATAATCGTCAATTTCAGTTATGTTGGTTTCCTTATACTTATTGGTCAGTTACAGGTTACGTTCTAAAATTTTTTCGGTTATTAACCGATAATCAATTTATGCTCACCCCTATATACTGTTACCTTAGGACATAGACACATTTTAACTTTGCTTATAATATTTATTTATTTATCTTTAACTATTTTGCTCCAAATATTAATATACAGAATTGATAAAATTTGAATAAACTAGGGTTTAATATAGTGATTTTTGTGTTAAGTATTTTATTTTGGTCCTGTTTGGTAAAATAGTTAGCCTATAGACCAATTTTGATTTATTTGATCACTATTAACTTTTTGATTTGATTAAAAAAATTAATATAAGTGTTTGGTTAATTAACTTTTGTAACTTCAAAATGTTAAAATTTAAAAAGCTGCTCGAAACAACTTTTCCAATTAACTTTTTGACAAATAAAATTATACCAAACAGCTATCAGCTAACAACTAGTTACACCTTTTAATTAACTTAAGGGAAAAGGGTCAAATAAGCCCTCCAACTATTGCTAAGAAGTCAATTAGGCCCTCCAACTATTTTAAGAAGCAATTACACCCCTAAACAATGTATTTTGATGCAAAGAAGTCCAAATACAGGTAAATGACCTGCTATCCCAGGTCATCGCAAATCCGACGACACTCCGACGTATTTTCCGGCGAAAAAGTGACCGGCGACCGGCAAACGGTCGCCGGTCACGGAGACCCCTCCTGGAGAAGGCAACCCAGAAATCTGGGTTGCCTTCTCCGGTCCTCGACCAGAGAAGGCAACCCAGATTACTGTGGTGGCCTTCTCGACCGGAGTGGGCAACCCAGAAATCTGGGTTGCCTTCTCTGGTCGAGGACCGGAGAAGGCAACCCAGATTTCTGGGTTGCCTTCTCCGGGAGGGGTCTCCGTGACCGGCGATCGTTCGCCGGTCGCCGGTCACTTTTTCGCCGGAAAATACGTCGGAGTGTCGCCGGATTTGCGATGACCTGGGATAGCAGGTCATTTACCTGTATTTGGACTTCTTTGCATCAAAATACATTGTTTAGGGGTGTAATTGCATCTTAAAATAGTTGGAGGGCCTAATTGACTTCTTAGCAATAGTTGAAGGACTTATTTGACCCTTTTCCCTTAACTTAATAAACTAATAGTTATTTACCGAACAACGACTTCATAATTAATTGATTTCATCTGCTACAATTACGAGCCTCAACGCTGTCTATATAAAAATTTTCAATTTTTATTTTGTTTTGCATACTGTGCGTTTAGTTCCAGGCTCCTTCAATCGTCTTCCAAGTCTTCAACCTTACGCAGCTACGCTCAATCGCTCATACATCTCGAGATTCAAGCTCTTCCGTGCCTCCATCTCTGAGTTGGTCTTCGTCGATTCAACTCACTGCTTAAGCCCACTGCCCACGTTGCCAAGCCCCAGCCAGCAGCTCCATCTTCTCTCTTCATCGCAGCCCATTGCTCCACCACCGTCGTCCGTTCACCATTCGTCCGGCATCCGGTAAGTCGGCAATAACTTGCAAATGCTCAGGTTCTAACCAATTTCATCCTTATTCTCTTAATTACTTTGCCCTAATTCCATAAATAATTGATAAATCCCTAATTCCCTAAATCTTCAATCCTCAACTTTTTTTTTTAATGTATTTTCGTATTCTCTGTATATTGTCTGTATATTTCCCCAATGTTTATCAATTTCTGTATAATCTATCAATCTATGTATATTTCCCCATTTTTTATCAATCATTCCACTATTCCACTGCTCTGCTTCTAGTATGCACTGTATGTCTATATGATATAATGTATTAATGTATATACATGTTTTGCGTAGACTTGTAGAGTTGTAGTAGCATAGTATATTAATCCACTGCTTTCAGTATGCTACATAAATGTGAGTTCCATTAATTAATGATATATATATATATATATATATATATATATATATATATATATATATATATATATATATATATATATATATATATATATATATATATTGATTCAGTTATAAAAGAATTCTTTAAAAGAAAATCTACTTTTGAAGATTCATCTAGTCAATGTAGTCATGAATGTCAAGTATACGACCTCGTATTCAAGTTAATTATTTTGTATTTGAACCATATTATCGGTGTTTGGTATTTTGTTATAGACATTTTAAAATTCATTTGAACTTCGCCTCCACTCAAAAAAAAATTTGGATCCGCCCCTGGCTACAATTAACTGTTGCTGGTAATGGAAATTAGCAACTGAAGTTCCTTCCGTTTTGCAAAATTTGGATGCTACACTAAGCTTAAGTTTTGAGATTTCACTGTGAATTTTGTAATTAGAATGTCTGTTGCAGGAGCATAGTTCTTTAAGTTTTAAAGAGGATCCATTATGGCTGCATCGGAGGAGAATAGTGCACTTTTTCCAATCTTTATCTTGACAATAATGGCGCTGCCATTAGTGCCCTACACTATTGTCAAGTTAATTCGTGCTTTTTCCAAAAAATCTACCAGCATCAACTGTCAATGCTCTGTTTGCTTTCAGTCTGGAAAGTATCGGAAATCCATATTCAAGAGGGCAAGTTTCTGACTTGACATGTTCTTTTTAATACTAGTACTAGTATTCTTATTACTTGAATGTTGTGTTATCACTTTGTTTATACCTGCTGTCTTCTTGATTTCAGATATCAAACTTCTCAACCTATAGTAATCTTACCGTTGTACTGCTCTGGATCGTAATGGGTGTACTGGTTTACTACATAAAAAATATTAGCACTGAGGTAATTGCTTACTTTGATCTTTAAGCACATTGCACTCTATGGTGCCAGTTCTAACTATTTCTTTTATGTTGAATTGTCTTAATGCAAAGAACATTGTTTGCTAACTTATATTTATATCATATTTGGTGAGGTGAAATCTAAGTGAATAAAATGCCTATATATCTATTGCAACAATAGTTCTACATCTAGGATTATTTGAAGCATATCAAAAGTGCATTAGTTGTAGACTCCTTAGACCGCGTTTTGTTTTTACATGTTTTTCTGTTCCTCTTGCTTGTTATGAACCTGCTCTCAAGCAGGTCCAGACTCTAGAATGGCTTTCTAGCATTTAGTTTTACAACATGGAGGTAAAATGTTATATAAACACTTCATTGAGGTTACTTATTTTAGCAATCAGGGGCGAAGGCAATGCTTTTGCAGAAATGGCACTTTGTTATTTTCCCTAATAATGTACATATATTATGAGTGTGTGAGTTTGTACAGGATAAATAGAGTTAGAAATAAGGGCACTTTTAGTAACCATAAAAATGAAAAAATGTTCTGGAAAAATGGAAAACAGAAAACATGTTTTTTAAGCACTGTTTTCTATTTTTTTATTTGGACAATTATGATATGAAAAAAGAAAAGAGAAAAATGAACTAAGCATGCGACCTCACTGAAGAAAATGACATTTGTATCCTGTGGGGACAAAATGTCAATTTTCATAGAAAAAAGGATAATTAATGAATGGTTGACATGAAATTTTGTGTGTGTGTGTGTATGTGTACATATGAATGCATGCATGTATGTTGTATGCAGTGGCAAAATCACTACTATAGAATTTTGAACCCACTAAACCAAAGTCCTGTCGTCCAATAACAATAGCTATCCATTGTATGTTTGGAACCGGTAGTCAAAATTTAAACATGCAAACAAAAGATTTTTCTGCAAATTGCTATTTTTGCCATATATGAGGGATGTTTGCAATTGCTTGAACTACAAGTTATTAGAACTCTTCCTTTGGAAGTCTACCTACAAAAGATTATGCAACATCTATGGAGAAAGAAACGATTTTAGGCTTCATTCTAAAAGTACTCACCATTTATCATTAAAGCTGCACTAAGAATGACTATATTTTCAGAATGAAATATTTGAGCCATTTAGTATTCTTGGGCTGGAACCTGGAGCTTCAGACTCAGAAATAAAGAAGGCATATCGGAGATTATCAATTCAATATCATCCTGATAAAAATCCTGATCCAGGTTTGACGACTGTTTAATTTCTTTTCTTATTTTCTTGATCGTTAGATCCCTCTTCTTTGGTGGTGGTGGTGTTCTTTTATATATATATATATATATATATATATATATATATATATATAAAGTGTAATGCATGCATATTGATTCCTGATCCACTTTCTTGCAGAGGCACACACATATTTCGTGGATTTCATATCAAAGGCATATCAAGCTCTAACAGATCCTATATCCCGCGAAAATTTTGAGAAATATGGTCATCCTGATGGGAGGCAGGTAGTATACTTGTATCATGGTCATTGGAGGGAGTGAACATTTAGTCACTTCAAATTAAAATTTATCACTTGACTTGGAAGGAAAATGACTTAGTTTGAAGGAATCTTTTGTTTCTATTTGCTGTAGGGGCTTCAAATGGGCATTGCCCTCCCTCAGTTCCTGTTAAATATCGATGGAGCATCTGGTGGAATACTGCTGCTTGGAATAGTTGGAGTTTGTATAATTTTACCCCTCACAATTGCTGTTATTTATTTATCGAGGTCAGCGAAGTATACTGGAAATTATGTTATGCATTCAACATTAGCTGCGTATTACCACTTCATGAAGCCATCTTTAGCCCCAAGGTATGAGCTTTATTTTTTGCATCCCTTATATTATGGCTTGAATGTAGTTTTCTTATGCAGAGTCATGGTCACCTGATTACTCTCTTAATCAGATTCAATAATAAGGCTATTCTTTTCTATCTGAGAAATAAGGATTTGTCTTTTGTTTTTGGCAGCATCTTAACTTGTGATTTATGAATTACAGACTGCTTTGACATATTCCAAGTTGTAATTCGTAACCATCATATTGATTGGTTTAACTGACCTTTGGTTTTCCATTTGGTAAATAACTAAATCTGCTCATGTGACTTTAATACTGTTTTCTAATTTTTTTCCCCCTTGTTATTGCTTAATGATACAGCAAGGTCATGGATGTCTTCATTAAGGCTTCTGAATACATGGAAATTCCTGTTCGCCGGATTGATGAAGAACCTCTTCAGAAATTGTTTGTGTTAGTCAGGAGTGAGCTGAATTTAGACCTTAAAAATATACGCCAAGAGCAAGCTAAGTTTTGGAAACAGCATCCTGCACTAGTGAAGGTCAAATGCTTATCAAGTTATCAGATTCTTTCTTCTTTTAGTTTAATGAACAAACAAATGTTCTGATCTAACATCTCACACATTCTTCCTGTGTACAGACTGAATTGTTGATTCAAGCTCAGTTAACCCGTGAAACAGCAGCATTATCTCCAAATTTGCAGCGTGATTTCAGACGTGTTCTTGAACTTGCTCCTCGTCTTCTTGAAGAATTGATGAAGGTATTCTTGCTTCATTTTTATGCATTGGTGGTCTGTGATTTCTTCTTAGTGTTGCTTTTTAGTTACTCTTTGAGTTTCTGAATGTTTATACTTTACGAAAGGATTGTGGCAAAATATTAATCTGCTCTTCTTTTCCAATTATTTTATTCAATACTAGTAAGAAGCTTGTCAATATACTTGAAAGCAGTTAATGGAATCAGCTTGTACGCAGTTCTTCCTTTGAAACGACTTCAATACCTGTCTCAGTTATTGGTTGGGAAAGTTTAGCATGCAAGTCTTAAGACTTTTGTGGCATACTAAAAAATAATGAGTTAGCATAAGCCACCTAACTATATTTTCTTGGGGCTTTAGTTTTTCCTTTGTTTCATTTTCTGCAAGCTTTTTGCATGCTGTTGTCTTATTTTTGCTTCGACTTTTGTGTCATTATCATCTTGCAACTGGATCTGGTGCACTTGACTGGCTTGTATATATGTCTCTGCTGAACTTATAGAGACCTTGAATCAGGATGTGGCTCACTTGTATGCGCATCTTGTATTTACGGAGCTTTGCTTAGACCTTGAAATTGAATGTGGTGCACATCTATGATGTGCTCTTTCATAGATGTCTATCTATAGTTTATGGAGTTCTGCTTTAGGGATTTTTTTCATTCATTCACTTTGAATGAGGTTAGAGTGAGGAAAGTAAGCATCAGTAATGAGTTATTAATGAGTTGTTTCTATATGTGCTTATTTTATTTCTATTATTATGCACTTCATAGGTTCTAATGAAGTAATGTGTATATTCTTATATGCAGATGGCCATTATACCACGCACTCCTCTTGGGCACGGATGGTTGAGACCAGCAATTGGGGTAGTTGAATTGTCTCAGAGCATTATTCAGGTTTTCTACTATATACTTCAATGCCATTGCTTTTGTTCTTGTTGCTATTTTAACTCCTGTTGGCTGTACAAATTTTCTCTTTTTCCGCTCTCTGTGCATGTGGAGGGAGTGGCTAAATGGACTATGGATGATGATGTGATTTTTTAGGATGATCTATCATTTTAACACTCTTTGGCCTTTTTTTGTCATTTTACTCAATCACAAACCCAATCTATTCCTGTTTTAGGACACTCAGATCTTAAGACATCACTGTTTTTTTTTCCTGTTGCCAAGGTATTGTTTAATATACTTGTAGGACAATTCATGCCTTTACATACCTTGGCATCCTTTTTCCCATCTCCATTATGATAGATATGAAGTTCTTTCTTTATAGGCTTCTTGCAATTTCTTTTCTCTAGCACGCACTTGTTCCTTATCATTATTATTATACTCCCTCCATCCCAACTTTTTGGCTTTGTTTGGATAACAAGGTTTCATGTTATTTACAATTCAATTTTTTGAAATATTTAATTTAATATTAGTAAATAAATTTTATACATTAAAAAATACATTGAAAGTTCTATTAAACACAAAAATCCAAATTTGAACATTATAAAGAATTGTTAAAGAAAATAAGCAAAAAAAGAATAGTTGGTTTGACTAATAAAAATAGTAAATACGATATATAAACTAGGATAGAGGAGTATCATTATTATTATTTTTAAAATTTTCCTTAGCAAAACATTGCACTGGTTACATTATTCGACTATTACTTGAGATATAAAATTAGCCTTGATCCCATAATTTTCTCCCATAAATAGAACTGGTTATATAATTTTCCAAATAAAAAAGGAAAAAGTCCTATTTCTTATTTATCACATTGCTTATGATTCAGGCTGTTCCACTTAGTGCAAGAAAAGCAACAGGTGGATCTAGTGAAGGATATGCTTCTTTTCTGCAGCTACCACACTTCAGTGAGGCTGTCATCAAGAAGATAGCAAGAAAGGTAAGACTCATTTTGTTGACTGACTGTCTTGTTGCCATCTTCCTTTTCCAAAGTTTTACTTGGAACATCATTATCTATCATTTTACTACTTTAATATAAAGTAATCAAATAATGCATTATTATCACTGCCCGTCTTCCTTTTCCAAAGTTTTACTTGGAACTTCATTATCTATCAGTTTACTGCTTGAATACTACGTATAAAGTAATCAAATAACACACGTTATTATCACTGCCCATACTTCTGTTGTGTAAATCTGGGATTCAAGTGTGCTTGATTATTTTTGTAAGGTCCTGAATATGATTAGAGTATAAGTTTCATTTATCGTCTCTTTTCATCCTTGAGAGTGTAAGATAAGTGGGGTCTTTCTATTTTTTGGGTTTTTGGGGGGGGGGGGGGGGGGGGGGGGGGGGGGGGGAGTGCTTTTAAATAATTTTTTTTATTTTTCTTTATGGAAATAGCAAATAGTAGACAACATGAACAAGGGTATGTTTTGTTCTATTTGTCTTGTGACACTAGTTCCACTTTTATGATTGTGGATTAGCAGTGGCATCATTGTATTGCTTTTGTTGGTCATATCAAACTCTTATTGTTAAGCCTCAAGCAACCTACTCTAATGTCTTGTGTTTTGCATTGATATCTCAACTTGTGGTTTCTTAAAGATGGTGATTTTAAGTTAATCGTTTTCTGTTTCACACACAGAAAGTGCGCACGTTTCAAGACTTCCGAGATATGAATGCGGAAGAGCGTATGGAACTGCTGACACAAGTTGCTGGCTTCTCTGATGCTGAATACCAAGATGTGGAGATGGTTTTTGAAATGATACCTTCAATATCAATTGATATCTCATGTGAGACAGAAGGGGAAGAAGGAATTCAAGAGGGTGACATAGTGACCATGCATGCTTGGGTCACTCTCAAGCGTGGTAATGGTTTGATCCGTGCACTGCCACATTCGCCTTACTTTCCCTTTGACAAAGAGGAGAACTTTTGGTTGCTGCTTGCCGACTCCTTTTCAAATGATGTTTGGCTATCCCAGAAGGTTAGCTTCATGGACGAAGCCACAGCCATAACTGCTGCATCAAAAGCAATCCAAGAGTCAAAAGAGGGTTCTGGTGCGAGTGCTAGGGAAATAAATGGTGCTGTGAGAGAAGCCATTGAGAAAGTGAAAAATGGTTCAAGGCTGGTGATGGGGAAGTTCCAGGCCCCACCCGAGGGGAACTACAACTTGAGCTCTTTCTGCTTATGCGACTCCTGGATTGGTTGTGATGCAAAGTCGAACTTGAAGTTGAAGGTTTTGAAACGGAGCAGAGCTGGAACAAGGGGTGTCACGGCAGATGAGACACCAGCTCCCGAAGAAGGAATTGAGGAGGAAGAGGAAGATGACGATGTATATGATGACTATGAAAGCGAGTACAGTGAAGATGATGAAGATGTAAAAGACACAAAGGGGGGCAAGGAAGTTGTGGCCAATGGCACAACTCAGAAGAAGGGCAGCAGCTCAAGCTCTGATGATGATTCAGAAACTGAAGCAGATTAACAGACAGCTGTTATATTGTTTTGTTACTCATCTTTCACCTGTGTAAACCGTAATTTCAAATTTTGGAGAAAGGAAAACAAAGATTTTATTTCACAAAACCCCACGGAGGGAGGGAGCATGGCAGGCTGGATGGAAGGGGAAACAAAAGAAAATTTTCATGGATTCGGTTCCCTCATTTGGACAAGTTAGAGCTGTCTTCTTAGAACTGTTATACTTCATCTACATGAATAAATTGGATACCATATCATATATAGCATTAATGTTTTAGATTTCTGATTATGTTGAGAATCATTTGCTATAAATGCTGCCTACGGAGTCTGCGTACCAAGATTTGAGAATGGGAAATTGGGAATGATGATAATATGATCATATTATAGAATGAATTTAGGTTTAGTACTTACTAGGAGAGATACGATCCACAATTCAGTCGTGCAATACAATACAATACGTGCACAATATTATTGAATTATACATTGATATCAAAGTAGTCTACAATTTTCTATCTGAATTAATTATTCCGTATTGAAATTGGTTGGTGACACGTAATCCCATATTCCTAGGTCACTAGTGTTCTAGCGAACTTGAAATTGACGTGTGGCTATAAATTGGTTAGAGACTCTTCAAAATTAGTCCGAGAAATCACTGAAACTCTAATTACCTATAATTTAGTCCGAGAAATCACTGAAACTCTAATTACCTATAATTTCAAGCTTAATTGATTTTTTGAGTAAAAAATTCAGAGTCTAATGGATCCTTTTTCTCAATTAATTAATACAGACAACCCATATGTAAATAAATAAATAAATAAATAAATAAATAAATATATATATATATATATATATATATATATATATATATATATATATATATATATATATATATATATATATATATGTATATATATATATATATATATATATATATATATATATATATATATATATAGAGGAGTGATCACATGTGGCCATGTTGTTAGGTGTGGTCATATGGTTAATTATAGACCATTAGATTAGATAGATCTAATGGATCATATTAATCAAGATTTTTTCAGTATTTTCGCGCACATTCTTCTACCCAGCGAACTGTAAGGGTAAACTTGTCATAAAACACCGGAATAAGGAAAATCACATTGTTGTGTGTTTTATTACACTATTGGTGCATGTTGTCAACACTGTTGGTGTATTCTGGAACTCGACGGCTATAAATGGCCACTGTAATTACCATAACACGGGAATACACCATTGGTGTGTTTCACTGTGGTGTGTTTTATTACATTATTGGTGCATGTTGTCAACACTGTTGGTGTATTCTGGAACCCGCCCGCTATAAATGGTCACTGTAATTACCATAACACCCCCACTTACTAAAACGCGCGAAAATCCTCAGAATTACCACAGCCTTTAGATTAAACTGATTCAACGACACAGCTACGACCACACGACCACACCTAATGACATGACCACATATGAGCGTTTTTCTATATATATATATATATATATATATATATATATATATATATATATATATAATAATAATAATAATAATTCTGAAAGTGCACGTACTACTTTTAATAATTTTTTTGAATTTGAAAACAAAAGAGTGAATGGAATAACACTAGCTATATTTTTCAAAATTTTAGGTTTTAGTACTTACTAGGAGAGTTAATAAATAAAGATCTTTGGACACAGAAATAGCTTCAAATAAATAATGTTAGTTACAAACTGAGAGACAACCTCAACAATGGCTTGACTGAAGTAATGCACACATCCTACTCAATTCCTACGTGCATTCTATTCTATTATAAGCACTCAATTAATCTCCACTAGCACAACCTTTGCAACCGCAATGCACACATTCTATAACCTTCTCTTCCCTTAGATGCTTAGGTACTCGGCAAACACATGTGGTTTGGAAGTTGTGATCTCGAGGTTGCATGCACCTCAAACAACATAGTCGTTCATAGCCAGGCTTTTTCCACTTCGCAATTAAATTACGGTCTGCATAACCCTGATCCAAACAAAACTCATATAATTCTTTGGAGATCTCCTTCTTCCTGTGATAAAAGTAAAAAATGTAGCGGCTTTTCTGATGACAAATTTTAAAAATAGGCCACAAAGCCTCACACTTTCTTTTCCCGTCATGTGGGTCATTCTCGGCTTCTCTCATCTTGGCTTGTAGTTCATTTAGAATAGGCTCAATCAATTCCCATCCCTTTGGGTACCTGACACGGTTTGTCTTCACCTTCGACATGGTTTTATATGTTCAATTATAGTGCCCAAGAATTAGAGGACATGGCATATTTACATACAAGCTTAGATCTATATATATAGAGAGAGATTGGATTAGGTAAGATCACCCAATCCAAATGAGATTGTGAGATTGGATTTAGGTGAGATCACCCAATCCGTATGAGATTGTGAGATTGCATCCTAAACATCTAATCAATATAAATTAGTGGTCAAGATTTGATTTTATTCCCCATCAAATTAGGACATAATGAATTATGTTCTAATTTGATAGGGGAATAAAAATAAATTCCGACTATTAATCTAACATTTCGTGAACCAAACAGTCCCAAGTGTTCGTGTCTTTATTATATCATGTTTATGTGTATGTATATTATGAACATAAATTCTGTACATTATAAAGTTAAATTATGTGTATTGGACTAGGGTCCACAGTGCACGTAACCAATCAAAACCGACATATTATACATATAAACTGAATAGGTTATTTTGGTAAGCGAAAATCCAACATATTCCACAATCCACAATAAATAAAATTACACTATATAGCAAATAATAAATCATAGTAAGTTACAATTGACAATTTAAGTGCAAAGCCTGACTCCATAATTCACAGCACATTCAAACACCATAGTCCAAAGTTTTTTTGTTTTTTTTTTTTTTCTTAAATAAAATTCAAAGTGAACAAATAGAATTTAGTCGATTACCTTTGATTATTGAAGCCTTGGAGTGTTGGAGGAACCGAGCAAGTCTGTGAGAGTGCGACTGAGCGGTGAGTGTGATTGTGTGAGGACAATTGTACGTTACTTTACAAATATTGTATTATTATTTTTTAAACGGACAAAATTTTTTTTTTACAGCGCGACTAACTACAAAGTTGTTGATCAGAAATACAATTATACCTGAACTCTAAACGGTAGCACCATTGTCCAAAGAATTGTTAATGCCCATATACACATCAAGGCAAATCTAAAACTTCATACACCATATTCCATTGCATGACGCTGCCCTCTATGCTACCCCTAGTAACCCAATTTCACATGACACACCACCAATAAAAAAAGAATACAACTACTCAGGGACGGAGCCAGAAATTTGGTTGAAGGGGGGGGAAACAGTACAGACGGATTCAGAAAATTTTTCCAGTAAAGGCGAAACATTAAAACAAAAGAGATAATTTAAAAATAAATAAATAAATTACTTAAGAAATATAGTTGTAAATATTGTTGGATATGGATGAAAAATAAAACACATCGAAACTTTATAAAAATATTCATAACAAAATATGAAACATAATTAATGAATTGCAAAATTATGTTAGTGCCAAGATTTGAACCCTTAATCTCACTATTGCCAAACATGTGCTCTACCACCTAATCTAACTCACTCTTAATAACAATTTATAGTTTTTTTTATACTAATACTAAAACATGTACTATATATACATACAAAGACTATATATGGGGTGGGGGTGGGCTGAGGGGGGGGGGGGGGGGGGGGAGGGGGGCTTTGGCTCCGTCCATGCAACTACTAAAGATGAAAGACAATAATAATGTTACCCAAAAGAGAATTAAGAAGACTTAGAGAAATTCAAACCAAAAGTATTATTTAGACTATCATTTTTAGACTAAGTATTAAGACTAACGTTATTACAAAGTTGCAAACATTTATTTTAGTAACAATTATAATCATCTTTCCTATATTATCTTGTCATATATACTTTGAATTACTGATTTAAATAGGAAAAAAATCAAAATTCAATTATCTAAACACCTCTTACATTGATATACTTAAGTATTTATTTAAAAATAATGATTGACATTATCTCGATCATTTACACAATACACGTGAAAAGCTAGTCCCTTTATAAATGATTGGGACACCGAGGTAATCAAATTAAAGACATCTTTCTACTAAGGGATTCGATGCTAATCTCATTTTAAGCATTCCACTAAGCACCCAAGGCAGAAGTGACAAAATCATCTGGACACAAAAGAAAGAGTGTTCTCCAAAAGAAGTAGAGGCGTTAGCAATATGTGAGGCCGTTACATGGCTCAAAGGCCTAAATTATAGCAAGGTTGAGGTTGAATCAGACACACTTTTGGTCATCCAAAGTCTCAACTCGGAAACTCAATCCTCCTCGTTCGACTTTATTATTTTAGACATTATAGATCTACTAAGCCTTCTAGACAATGTATCTATTTTCTTTTTTAAACGTTCTGCGAATGGTGTCACTCACTTGTTAGCTAGGCACTCCATTTCCAATGTAGATCGTGAGGTTTGGTTCACCGAACCTCCCACTTTCATTTGTATTGCTCTTTTCTGTGATTTTAATGAATGAATTTCGGTTTTGTTTGCAAAAAAAAAAAACAAAAAAAAAACAAAAAAAAAAAACACTTGTTTGCTGTTTGTTAATATTTTCCAAGATTGTTCCTCAAAAAGTGATTATTCAAAGGACATTTTCAGTGTGTAGTGAAGCAAGTTTGTTTCTTTTTGTAACTAATCAAAAAAAAAAAAAAAATCATTTAACACTTCATTTACTTGTCTATTCATAGGCTCCACAGTACAAACTTTTTCTTACTCACTAGAATTCATCCACAATTACCATGAATTTCAGCCTGATAAAGGGTTACTCAAAGTAGCAAAGATTATTTTAGAACTTCAATTCTCACATGTTCAAAACAGTTAGTTCTAACCAAATTCCCACAACATATTATATCCAACAATAACACTAGCAACTTTCCATTAAAATTATGTCTCAAAATCCAAAAGCTTCAACTTTTAATTCCAAGTAGACCTCACGAAATTCACAAGCCTTAAAAGATCCCCTTAAGAATGAAGAACCATACACTACCTTTTTAACTTGCTACAAATAGCTACTGATGGTAAAACAGAAATATAAAAGCCATTAGACATAAACATTCAACAAGTTTTGCTCAACAATTTCCCCTTCCAGCAATGTGTGTAAATTCAAATATTAAAATAAAACATGTCCCCGGCCCACACACACATATGCATTACCATTTACCACGAAGAACTTCAAGAGAGATCATCTCTTGTATCATATCATATTATTATTGTTTAATTGCCTAAATTTTCAAGTTTGTTAATACTACCCTTTTGCCCTTGCTGTATCACTTCACATTCTTATTCCTGGTTGTTTTCAACTGAATAAACTAGATAACCGGATAACTCGAAAATGAATTTTAGCCAACATAACTATTATTGGAGTGGTTTTTGCAGGGGAGGTGTTTGCTTAATAAATGTAGGTAATTGGACGAATAGGAAGAAGAATATGATCCATTATACTCCGTAATATTTTCTTATCAGGAATTGTAACCTTACGCAAATGGATATTTGCTATGCATTTATGAGGTTCTCTAGAGCTTTTTAGCATTGTATATAACAGAGGTTATAGAGATGCTTAGAACATTCTAAAACCTTAGACAATCCTCAAGCTTAGAACATTCTAAAACCTTAGACAATCTTCAAGCTTATATAGAAATTTTAAAAGGATTCTAACAAGTAAGATTAAGTAGATCTGCACCATCCATTAAGGAGGTGGAATGGTATAAATACCCAGGGCATCATTTGTAACCATTCAAAAGTTCAAACAATCCGAGTTCGCTTTCAAAAGTTGGCTTTCAAAAGAGTAAAATGGCCAATAAAGTAACCCATCATCTACTTGAAGTGCCAAAAGTAAATTAACACTAGCTATATTTTCACAAGTTTGGGGGATAAGATTTTTCTAAGAGTTAATAAAAATGTTTGAAACAAACAATTTTAGTTACAAAATAGTAATACAGTTTCATTTTTAACGTTGGCTTGACTCAAACAAGCTATAGAATGAACTAGGTAGCAGACAAAGAAAGAAACACCCCTAATAGACATTTTTCCTATACTAATAAGAGCCCAAGAGAATTAGGCCTATAATAGGTAAAAAGAAGGGCTGTAATAATTTAGTAGCTACAACAAAAAAAATAATACATATGCATTTCTTTAATTTAGAATTATATGTAAAATATATAATAATAATAATAATAATAATAATTGTTTAAAAAAATAATAATAATAATTAAGCCAATCATATTAACTACTTGGGAGATTTATTGACAAAAAGAGTATTTATATCACACAACAAATTGAAAGAATATTCAAATCACACAACAAATTGAAGTGGAAACTACCTCACAATGCCCTTGTTTAACAATTAGCAGTTAGCTTGCCCTAATTTTTATTTGTTCTCCCTATGTCCCGTATTTGGTTTCAACCATACCTATACAATTATTTTATTGACAATTATAATCAATCTTTACTATAATTAAATATGCAAATTCAACATTTAATTATCTATCTATTAACAATTTAAAGTACTTATTTAAAAAATAAAATATTGGCATTATCTCAATCGCCCGTAAAAAATTAGTATAATAATAATCTTTAAATTGTCCATATTTTCATACGGTTGTGTAAGAGTGAATAAAGATCTTTGCCAATAAACAATGTTAGTTACAGACAGTTTCAACATTGGTTTGACTGAAGCAAGCCATAGAGTGAGGTAAGTAGCAGATAAAGTAGCACTACTATTCAATCCGTACATGCATTCTATTATAAGGACTCAATCAATCTCCACTAGCACAACCTTTGCAACCACAATGCACACATTCTATAACCTTCTCTTCCCTTAGATGCTTAGGAACTCGGCAAACACATGTGGTTTGGAAGTTGTGATCCCGAGGTTGCATGCACCTCAAACAACAGAGCCGTTCATAGCCAGGCTGCAACGCAAACACAAAAGACACCAGTTAGAATTTAAGCACGGTAATTATGTACAAATATTCGCACATAACCAGGTAAAATGCAGTATGAAACCTTTTTCCACTTCGCGATTAAATTACGGTCTGCATAACCCTGATCCAAGCAGAACTCATATAATTCCTTGGAGATCTCCTTCCTCCTGTGGTAAAGGTCAAAAATGTAGCGGCTCTTCTGATGACAAATTTTAAAGATAGGCCACAAAGCTTCACACTTTCTTTTCCCGTCATGCGGGTCATTCTCCGCTGTTCCCAAAAATGAAAAATGAATTAATAATACTGCTTTTGAAACACTTTAAAAGATCAATGTCAAACACAAAATAGGATAAGAAAGCGGAAAATTCAAAGTCAATGTAATCAAACCACCTTCTCTCATCTTGGCTTGTAGTTCATTTAGAGTGGGCTCAATCAATTCCCATCCCTCTGGGTACTTGACACGGTTTGTCTTCACCTTCGGCATGGTTTTATCTGTGCAATTATAGTGCCCAAGAATTAGAGGACATGGCATATTTACATGCAAGCTAAGATAGATAGATATATATATATATAGATTGGATCAGGTGAGATCACCCAATCCATGAGATTGTGAGATTGCATCCTAAGCATCCAATCTATATAAATTAGTGGTCAAGATTTGTTTTTATTCCCCATTAAATTAGAACATAATTAATTATGTCTTAATTTATTCGGGAATAAAAACAAATCTTGACCACTAATTTATATTGATTGGATGCTTAGGATGCAATCTCATGATCTCATCTACAAGGGTGGTCTCAGAGGTTCCCACCCCTAATTATGTGTCATTTGAGAGTATTTATTTTATTGTGTCTTTGAAATACAAAAGGCTTTGCATGACTGAGTATCAAAGAAGCATTCATGACACAAGTATCATATCCAGGAGGCGATCCTTCTGAGATCAATAAGACAAGCCTTGAAGATATCCCATTTACAACAATGAACCTGATGAGTGACAATGCTACATCTTCAAAATTGGCAATAAAGAAAAACTGCAAGTTGGCAAAGCTATTGTAAAATCAACTGGAAAGTTCCTAAGGAAGAAAGGCAAGAGGCTCTGTTTTTCTGTATCTATACTAGATTGTCTGGTTAAGTCTGGATCGGGTTTTGTATATCAATATGGGGGCAGAAGACTAAGAATACATGTCATCCCAATGGAGATTATAAATTTTGAATCATTATGGAGGAAGTTGCACAGGCATCATTGAAGTGAAGTGTGCATGAGCATCAGTAGGTTACGATCTGATAACTGATTAACTAAGGTTTTTTTTTTAATGAACGTAACCAATCGAAACCGACAGATTATACATATAAACAGAATAGGTTATTTTGGTAACCAAAAATCAACACATTCCACAGTCCACAATCCACAATCCACAATAAATAAAAATTACAGTATATAGCAAATAATAAATCATAGTAAGTCACAATTGACAATTTAAGTGCAAAGTCTGACTCCATAGTTCACAGCACATTCAAAAACCATAATCCAAAGTGATTTTTTTTTTTTTTTTTTGTATATAAAATTCAAAGTGAACAAATAGAAATTAGTCAATTACCTTTGATTATTGAACCCTTGGAGAGTTGGAGGAACCCGAGCAAGTCTGCAAGAGTGCGACTGGGCGGTGACTCCTGTGAGTGAAGATTTGAAGAACTTCTCTCTGTGAATTGGGAAATTTGTGAGAGCGTCAGGGTAGAGAGTGAGATAGGGCTGAACGGAGAGGTGTATGTCTTCTAGAACTTGATAATTCCAATTTATATATACTAATCATGAAAATTTCATGTTTTCATAAAAACCTAACATTAATATAAATGGATATAAATAGATGGAGAATAAAGATGAAAAGCTGAAAACCCTAGAACAATCAATCAGTACAGAAGCTATTGATACAATAAACTTATCATACCGTTAAGAAGCAAAGTTTTCCGGCGGAAAAAGTCGGCGGCATGGACCGATGGAGTTAGGTTATAGGATTGTCCGGCGAGGCTGGAGACTTCGATTCTCGATGAGAGGAAAAGAGCCGTTGAGGTTTAGACGGAGAGGTGTATATATAGATGCGAAGTTTGATACGCAGATCCGGGTTACAACCGACCCGTCTGTTTATATTGTGTAATTTTATATTTACTTCAAAATAAATAAATAAATAAAATACTATTTTGTCTCATTTTAACTATATATTTACTATTTATTTATTTATTATTATTATTATTTTTTTTTTTGAAAACCAAAGGAACTTTCATTAACACAAATGTTCAATACAAGAAGGAAATGAAATCAACCAACAAGAAGAACCAGTCTGAGAACGAGTAGCTCTTGCCAAAGCATGAGCAAACCTATTCACTGATCTTGAAACATAATGAAATGACACTAAATCAAAGTGTCGTTGGAAAGCTCGGCACTCACGAATAACACAACTTGCATATGGTAGATCCTGAGATGTGCCATTTAACGGCCTACAATTATTTACTATTTATGATCAATCTAACAATTATTTCTTTATATATTTTTTTGACTTTTTAAATAAATTTTAAATTTATTTTTATGTTTAATAGTATTTTATGTAGTTTTTAAATATATAAATCTTATGTAGTAATATTAAATTAATTATTTAAAAAATTAAATTATAAATAACTTATGTTAAATTCCGATAACCAAGTTAAATTCGAAAAGTAGGATAAAAGAATAAATATATTATTTTTAATATAGTTGAGATTGTTTAAAAATTACGCATAAATAAATGAATGCACAAAATTTTCATTGTTTTATAAATGAAATGCATACAAATTATATTGGTCCTGCAATTAAGCATATAATAAAAGTTTCTTCATTTGTTTTTTGTACATCCAAAATCAGAAGGTTCTTTGATTATGTAAATTCATCATACAATTTTTTTTTTTTTGAAACCAAATTCATCATACAATTATTTATATAATACAATATTTTTTTTTGAATGCTACTGACTCTATTACATTGTAGTATCTGTTCAAACATGCATGAGAGAAGTCACTACATGCCATTTGAGCACAAACTATTGTGGTACATGGCATTTATTTGAGAAGTCACTACAGGTTGAAACACACGAACATGCATGAGAGAAGTCACTACTACATGTCATTTGAGCACACAAACTATTGTGGTACATGGCATTTATTTGAGAAGTCACTACAGGTTGAAACACACGAACATGCATGAGAGAAGTCACTACATGTCATTTGAGCACAAACTATTGTGGTACATGGCATTTATTTGAGAAGTCACTATAGGTTGAAACACACATGAGAGAAGTCACTACATGCAGCTTTGCATTTATTGAGCACGTCATCTTGGCATTTATTTTTTTACACATTGTGGTCCAGGAGGCACCGTTTAACGATCCGGGTGGGGTCCACCCGGTTCGCTCCAGGAAGCACCGTTTAACGGTCCAAGTCCACCCGGTTGTTCGCTCCAGGAGGCACAAAAGCTGGCCCAAAGGGGATCGTTACTTGTGGAAATTGAACCTGGGTTATCCCGAAATTCTCCTCCACAAAGAGAGCTCATTTGCCACTTGAGCTACCCTGTTGGATTGTGCTTGGCATTTATGTAATACAATATAAGTATATAACTATTGTAAATTAACTCCAACATTCAGATCATATTATAAAGGCTTCTCCAAATCTAAGCCTGAGGTATATAACCATCAATCATTCAAAATGATAGTCAACAGTCCCAGGGCAGGGCAGTTGTGTTCATTTCCACAAGACCACAAGGCAGCTAAAGAAAGCACAATCAGGCATATTAATGTTCACTGGGAGCAACAAATACATCAATGCCATAAAAGAGGGCATTCTTGGAATGTTAGACAAACATTGGGACATCAACCTCACAAACACATCTAATAATAATCTGAGGCTTTGATACATAAACAGCTTCATCAAATAATCAAATAGCTGCCATTTATTGGTTGTGATTATCGTGATTTGCACTCTCTTTAATATTCTTCTTGCATATAGTAAAACAACCGATTTTGCTTATGTACACCCACCACCCACCAACAAATCCCACATTCATCTCCTTCAGATTTTGAGGTTTCTCTCCCTCTCTCTCTTGCGAGCCACTTCTCGCGCCATCTCTCTCAATTCCTCTGGTGATGGAGGTCGGGGTGCTTCTGGAGGATACACAATATATTCACGCTTCAAAAAATAAAAAAAGAGGGTCTTTAGAAACTTATCAAGATTGTAATACATAAAAGTATAGTCCTATAACCATCAGCGCTCAAATAATATTTCAAATACAATGGAGTAACAGCACACAGACAATTATATAGCTAATTATCATAGTAAAACCTAACACATACACAAAGGGTAAACAATACTATCCCAAGAAAGGCACAAGATGAGCAAAGCAAAGACCGAACATTGAAATGCTATCAAATATAAAATAAACATTTCCCTAACACTCCAGAAGAACTTCAATTACAACTGAAGTTTGATACACAAATATAACGAATCAACCAAAAAGTAAATTACCAAAAAAGTTGGGCTAAATCTATAATAATAACATAACATCTAAATAGCTACAAGTTGAGGCACAAACACAAAGAGCACATGATGTATCTTTATTCATTCTAGCAAATGCTTTAGTACCAGTTTTAAATGAAAACTAGACAGAAATTTAACCTAAGTTTGTGCCAAAGTAACTATTCAAAGGATGTGTTCAGTAGGCATTGAGGCACATTGTGTGTCTTTTTGGTAATTAACCCACATAAGAATACATAGAAACAGTCCAATTCTTTATATACTCAGACTCCAGAATAAAAATTATTTTCCCAATTGGGCCTCGGCTAGTATCCATACACAATTAGCAAGAATTTCAGCCTGTGAGGATTACTAAAAGTAGCAAGGAATTATCTCAAAACTTCAAGCCTCAGACATTCAAAAGAACTAGTCCAAACCAAACCCATAATCTATATAGGTATATCCAAGAACAGCACTAATTTTCAATTAGTTTCTAGCCTAGAAAGAGCATATGATGTTCTTGGTTCATTCTAATAAATGCTTTAATATCCCTTTATAAATGAAAACTTAACTTGTTTGCTGTTTGTTATTATTTTTCCAAGATTGTTCCTCAATAAGATTGTTTGCTGTATCACTTCACATTCTTATTCCGGGCTATAACACATACAGCAAACAATATGTGTTACCCTTTGTGGAGGCTCCGATGGCGGCGCAGTTCGAGCTCCGGCGTCGTCCTCCTGTTCCGAGCAAAGCCCACTACCTCACCCTGACATGTTATCAATAAATAGTAGATTTCTCACTAGTCTAGGAAAAACTATTCATCTTCTCAAAGATGACTTGAAATAAATAGGGTTCAAAAAGGCTTCCCAAGACAAAGATATTTCCAATATATACAATAAATACTAAACTTCTCATTTTTCTAGGAAAAACTATTCATCTACTAAAGGCAACTTGAAATAAATAGGCTACGCAAGACAAGATATTTTCAATATATATGTATATATTTTATATATTTTATTTATTTAATACTCATCGCCTAGTCATCGCCTAGGCGGTCGCCTAGTCGACTAGTCGACTAGGCAGTTGGTGACATCTCGCCTAGAAAGTCCGCCTTGATAACCTTGGACTGAATAAACTAGATAACCAGATAACTCGAAAACGAATTTTAGCTAGCATAACTATTCTTAGAGTGGTTTTTCAGGGGAGGTGTTTGCTTAATAAATGTAGGTAATTGGACAAACAGGAAGAAGAATCCGATCCAATATACTCTTTAATATTTTCTTATCAGGAATTGTAAGCTTAAACTGCAGTTCAAAATACACAAACACACAAAAATAGAGAGAGAAAGAGAGATTTACAGTGCCCATGAATTTCTGGAGATTCTTGGTGTTGTTGGCGAAGAAGTACATGAGACCAATCGGAACGGTGACATACATTGCAAATTTTGCGACTTCTAACAAGCCCTTTGAGGTTCCAACAGACGACATCGTATTTTTTCTTCTCCTCCGGCCGGGAAAATGGACCGAGAATTTCCACTTCTTCAAGATCTATTGCTTTAAAACCCTACAAATCTCAGAGGGAGAGAACTCAGGGTAGAGGACCAGAGCTCAGCTACCCATCGTTATACCCTACACCAAAACGACGTCGTTTTGGGGTCATTTTGAGAGGCGCGGTAGGAAGTTGCTGTTATTATGTATATTTGTTCACACAATTATCTATATTTTTTTCATACAGTTATGTACATTTTTTATACAATTATGTACATTCTTTTTATACAATTATGTACATCCGAATTAGAAAATTTGTGTGTATTATATTAAGAGTTGATGTATATTATGTTAAAAGTTTATGTTTATTATGTATTATGTTAGATTATGTGTATTATTTTTTAAAAAGAGTATGTATATTTTGTTATATAATTATGTACATTCATGTATACAATTATGTGTATTCTAGTATAACATTATATACATTTTTAAATAGAAATTTTTTTTAAAGAAAACTTAACTGCTATACACCGGAGCGGGCAATTTCAAAAAAAAAAATTAAAATTAAAACAATATCATTTTGTATCTGGACGCACAGTGCAACGCGCACCGTGATGTAGGATATAAATTGCCCTAGCTACATGGCACGTGGCACTGCAGGGTGCAGGCGTCATAATTTTGGGCTTTCATTACTCGATCAAGCCCAAACTAAGTTGTCCGTTTTTAAGTAAAAGCTGATGCGGCCCATAGGGGATGCAAATAGGCTAAGCCATTAAGCGAAGTTGGACTTTAGAAAATTAGGCATGGGCTTATTATGGGAATCTAAAGCCTGAGTTTGGGCAAATTATGCTGTGAGCACATGCTCATCATGTACATGGTGTACACGAATTTATATTTATAATTTTTATACTGTAAATTCATAAATTTCTAGACTCTCGGTGAGCTAAAATTATGAATTTAAAGTATAAATTTTAGCTCACCGAGAGTCTCAAATTATGAATATACAGTATAGAAATTATGGATATAGATTCATGGTTAGAAATTATGAATCTAAAGTATAAATTTTAGCTCACCGAGAGTCTCGAAATTATGAATATACAATATAGAAATTATGAATATAAATTTATGCACACCATGCAAGATGAGCACGTGCTCACAGCATAACAGTTGCTGAGTTTGGACCTGGGCCTACGTAGGTTTTTTGTTAGGTTAAGTCTTAGCCTTTATAAAGCACAAGTATTTTGGTAAAAATAATAGTGATTTCCCTACTCATACGGAACGACGTAGTTTTGACATTAGAGGAATTGATCATTTCTCTTTATGTATTTGCTTGACGGCAAAGCATTTATCAAAGCTATTCTATTTCCAAAGTTCACTTTTCAATGATATTTATGACTCTAGAGAAGCAATAATTTCTGTTTTGTTTGTTTACTTGACAATTAATTAATTACTTACATTTTCCAATGTTATTTTGACATTAATTAATTAGTTACATTTTCCAATGTTATTTTGATTTTCAATACGTTGTTTGGTTTTACAAGTAACAAAGCAAACGGAAGCATTAAAAAATAATTACTACAAAGCAAATTTTGAATTTGAATTCTCATAAGAAAGTCTCTTCCTCCGCCTCCGCCTGTTTTTGAGCAGCAGCAGCTGCAACCAATTCCGCCTGTAATTGTTGATTCACGGCGCGCCTAGCTAGACCACCAATTGTTGGACCACCACGCATGTTGGGCCTGTCTCGATGACGCCGAGGGCCAAATGGTTCATCCGGCATCGGGGGGCCAAATGGTTCATCCAACATCGGGTCTCCAAAGTATTGCTGCAGCGCCACGTGGAATAGGAACTCGTACTCAGTATTGATCAACATATCAGTACTCCGCTGCTGAACATCCCTAATGAATGCATCGCGATCGGCGTTAGGATTGTCGAGGACTTGCCCGGAATCTAACCTCAACCGGTTGAAAGCATGCATCTAATTTAAACAAAATGCGTTAGGAATTATTACGAATAAAATAATAACAAATCTAAATCTATTCCAATTATTGCAAAACATTTGTAATATACTAACCGCATCATTCAGTGAGTGATGCTGCACACTGCACGAATCCCTGGTTACTATAATGCGTTGGATTACCCGTCGACCGTGACCGCGCATGTAGTACCATGTGCGGGACCGTGACCGCGCATGTAGTACCATGTGCGGTACCCATCCACAACCTGCGATCGATCAGTTCTTTGCATGTGGATAACCAAATCATACCGAGCATTTCAACGAGCCACGTGCTCGTGTTTAGTCCGAAACTTACCCCGTTGGTCCATATCGTGCAACCGTTGGTCGTATACCACGTCTGCTGACACAACCTGTAGTACCAATGGATATAAAATTTCTCTCATTCTATCAACACTCTTATTCTTACTTCTTATTCTCAAAAAACAAAGTGGTAGAATAATGATTGAATTGACTACCCACAATATTCATAATCAATATGTAGTTAATTGTTCAATTCAATGTAAATATTAAAAAATTAGTGCACTATCTTGACACCGATGGCTCATCTGCGAACCGCGGTAAGTGGCCGATAAGTTTTTTTTTAGGACTTAAACAAATTATTGAATATTTCTTAAACAAGCTGCTGATGTGGTAGGGAAAAATCACATGAAATTTTTGAGATGGAAAAAATTTGATGATATTTTCAAATTTAGATTTAGAAAAAATATGAAAGCATATACTAAATGTGTTTTTAATTTAGTTAACACTCACACCAAATGCATGCATTTGGGAAAGAGATTTTTCCTAAGAAGGTAGAGTTTGAAAAGTTACCCAGTTTCAATATGCAAAGTATCCCATTTCAGTCAATTTCCCACAGTTGTAATCATAATTATTGTTATCTAAAGTGTTTTTGCACTAAATAACACTGCACAAAAATAAATTATATAAATTACCTCAAATTATACAAAGAAATCGCGACAGTTTCAATATGCAAAGTATCCCATTTCAGTCAATTTCCCACAGTTGTAATCATAATTATTGTTATCTAAAGTGTTTTTGCACTAAATAACACTGCACAAAAATAAATTATATAAATTACCTCAAATTATACAAAGAAATCGCGATCGTGAATACTTCCTAGCTCCCAAAATCTTTTAAGTTTAACCACATCCTTAAAATTGAAGAAATATTTACAAGAACCTGGATTCAAAGAACACCAAACAGTAAAAATATGAACCATACATGCAAAACCAAAATCAAAATGCAACCCACTGCAAATTAGATATCCAGGGAAAAAGATGAAAATGAAGAAAAACAAGAAAAAATCTAGAGATGGAGAAGATATAAGGTAAAATCTTACCCATTTTTAGCGGCATTGGACAAGTTAAAAGACTAGAGAGTTTGAGAGCACTAGATCCTCGGCAGGGGCTGAGGCGGAGGCCGGGAAGCAGCTTCGTCGTCGGCAAGGGTGGAGGCGGAGACCGGAGAGGAGACGCGAAGTCTTCCGGTGTCCGAAATCGGCAGTTGTCGGCTGAGTAAATTGTCGGAGACCGGAGACTACTCGACTGTCTCCGTGTCTCTTCTTCTGTCGGCTGAGTGCCTGAGCTAGGGCTTGGGGAGTTGGGGAAGCGATAGAAAATTAGAAGGGTAGGAAATGGGTTGTGGCTGTGGAATGGTCGAATGGAAAAAGTCAGATGAGTTGCAGTCTGCCGATGGAATGAATGGATTAGGGTTTAGGGCTATTGGATACTTGGATGGGATGGGCTATTAAGCATTGGACCGTTGGCAGAATGAAATCACTCTATTGCTCCATTTTATATCTAATAATAAAATAGGGAATGAATTATGAAGGCAAGTTATACCCTGGACGATCACCTAAAACGGTGTCATTTCTTTTAATGAAAATAAACAGTATCCATTTTGTGCTGTTCTGCGTAAAGTAACTCTATTTATATAACATATTTAGTTTCATTTTATATACATTATTGTTTTATTGCAACATAACTATAGTTTCATTTTGTTTCAACTACAGTTTTATTCGACATTATACATACAACACTCTTATTACAGACTTACAGTGAGATATGTTATTGAATTTTATTTTATACAACCTGTAGTCTTATTACAACACCATTAAATTATAATTTTAATTCAACTACGATTTCATTGGACAATATACACCAAAAAATGTGAAATTGTTATTTACTTTCATTTTATATACATTGCAGTTTCATTACAACACAACTACAATATCATTTCGATATAACTACAGTTTCATTGGACAATATACACTCAAATATGTGAAACTGTTGTTCAGTTTCATTTTATATAAAATGTAGTTTCATTACAATACAACTGCACTATCATTTCGATATAACTAAGTTTCATTGGACAATATACACTTAAATATGTGAGATGGTTATTCAGTTTCATTTTATATACACCGTAGTTTCATTACAACACAACTACAATATCATTTCGATATAACTACAGTTTCATTAGACAATATACACCCAAATATGTGAAACTGTTATTCAGTTTCATTTTATATACAATGTAGTTTCATTACAACTAGGGGTGTCAAAGTGGGCCGAAATCCGCGGGTTAGCCCGCACCCGCCCCGCGATGGGGCGGGTTAGGGGGCAATAAATTAGGCTCGCGAAAATGCGGGCCTAACGGGCATGGCCCGCGGAGGGCCAGAGCCCGCTCGGGCAAACCCGCGCGGATTGCGAGCCGGCCTGCAGGCCAAGTCATATTTAATAAATAAATAAATAAATAATATATATAATATCTTTTTTTTAGAAAAAAATCATATATATAATATCTTAATTCTTAGGCAGTGTGTAGATCTGACTATCTTAGAGTATGCAGAACGGGAGAAATCCAACAATTCAATAATCCTTCGCCAATTCTTAATTCAATAATTCCTAGAGTACGTAGTTCTTCGGTTTTTCCATCTCCATCCGCCTCCAACTCTATCAAACAATTACTAAAACTAAATCATCAATTCATACATATTTATGAATTACTAAATCGCTTCTAAGTCCAGCAAACATACATATTTATATATGTATTATACACAGACGGGAACTGTAGAGGGAAAATCTGAAGCCGAGAGAGAAATAGAGTGTGCTGTTGAACCCTAGCTTTGATCACACTTCTACAGTTCTGCTAAACGCGCGGTATCGATCCGGGAGATTTGGGCGAGGTTTATGAATTTTATGAAAGTTTCCGGTACATTGAGGTGAATCATACACCGTGAGGATGCGAAAGAACGACCAATAAATAGTGCCATATTTCAAACGGTTTTAACATGTTTATATACTATTTAATGTTTTTTTTTTTAATTTAAGTGATGGCCCGCGGGCCAGCCCGCATGGGCGGGCTTGGGCTGTATAGTTCCAAGCCCGCGAGCTTCGCGGGCTGGCCCGCAAAAGCCGGCCAAATAAAAAGCTCGCGGTGGGGCGGGCCGGCCCGCATTGACACCCCTAATTACAACACAACTACAATATTATTTAGGGTGTGTTTGGTTCGCACATGAGAATCGGAACCATAATGGGTATCAAATACTTGAGGGTAATGTGTGTTAGTGAAAGTATTTTGCATGTTTGGTAGTATGGTGGAATGAGAATGATTATTAATAATGTTGTTTGGTTATGTATGATCCAATAATGGGAATAAAGATTTTAATTTTTAAAAATACAAGAATACAAAATCAAGACAATTGATTCTAATATAAAGACATCCAAAACACCAATATGAACAAAAAATAAAAATCTAAAAGCATTAATCAAAGGGGATGAGAAGGAATAAGGGAATGAAAAGGGATGATACGTACCCTTATTTTATTTGGGTATGAATTTTTCAATTAAGGGGTATTTGAAACCCATAGTAGTGTTCTAAAAAAAACCTATCAATCAAACAAAAGCAATCCCTTTGATACTCATTCCTTAGAGCTAAACCTGTCAACCAAACACACCCTTATATTCAACTACATTTCTATTTGATAATATACATTCAATATATGAGACATATGATTCAGTTTCATTTTATACATATTACAGTTTCATTTCAACACAACTAAAGTATAATTTTTGTTCAATTACAGTTTCATTTGATAATATAAAAGGAATATGTGAGACAGTTTCATTTGAGATACACTGTAGTTTCATTTTGTTATGAACACACAAAAAATACGAGTTATGTTAAGATGTAACGGGATCCATTTCGTTTACTTAAAGAAACAACACTATTTTTGGACCATGGTCCACGGTATAACGGCTGAATTATGAAATATCAAACATTATTACATGGGCCATAATCCATACAGTTGTGAAGACCATAAATAAAAAGTATATTTTTAATATATAAAAAGCACATTATTTGGGTACATAAAATATATTACTTGAAAGTACATTATTTTATATAGGGAAAAATGTCAATTACACACGTGAACTTTATACGAGAAGTTAATTAAACCCCTTAACTTTTAAAAATTACAATTAAATTCATCAATTTGTTATTCTTGTACATTTAGACCCAAGAACAAGTTAATTATTTGTAATAGCATGTTAGATGTTGACGTAGCATTTCTCAAATAAATAATAATATAAAATTAAAATTAAAATTAAAGAGAGAGAGAGAGAGAATATGGCAGCCAAAGAAGGAGGCAAGAAGATGGCAGCCATGGCTGCCATCTTTTTGGGGTTATATTATAAATTAAAGAATACTAGCTATAAAATGTAATATATAATAATTTGATATTGAATATAAATATAAATATTTTATATACCTCTATCTCTATATATAATATAGTAGAATCAAGGTGAAAAAAATTTCCCTCTATTTAGTGCATTTGAGAGTTATGGAATATTAAGGGTTTAGGAACTTTATAATCATCATAAATCTATATATATATATATATATATATATATATATATATATATATATATATATATATATATATATGTACTAACTTTTTAATAGTTTGTAATTTTGATTAGTTTTTTAATAATTTATTTACAAAGAAAGTTAAGTAAAGTAAAATTAAGTAGGAAACAAAATTTTCCGCCTAAGTGTGAATGCGTATTAATAGATCTGTAAGATAATTATTTTTTTTTGGTGTAAACTATGAGGTGGTTCGGGTCTTTCTCTGTCCGTTTAACTTTGTAAGATCATTATTGCAAATGAGATTAGCAATTTGAATGCATTTTTTGTCATATATTGTCTTAACATTTAAATATTACAATGTATAACTATACTTACATTTTTAATAAAATTAATTCTACTTTGTATCATAACATTACAACAATACTTATAAATTTTTGTCCGTGCATTGCACGGGGCAAATACTAGTTAATATATATAAACAAGCTATACATGTAGGCTCGTAAGCTAGACTCGCTTTTACATATGGACCTCGCCAATTAAACTGGTTGAAACCGGAAAAATAATAAAAGAAAAATATTAAGACACAAAATTGTCCTTACTAAAAATAGGAAAACTCATGAGAAAGATTAAAAGCATTCAAAAAATAATAGTCTGCGATTAAATTTGGAATTGCCACCAAAGATAAAAGACTTCTAGTGAAATTAACTCTACTACAAATGTATATTTATCATACTAAAAATAATATATATTAGGGTTTATCTTGCCGTACAGGTTTAGGTATATGATATAATGATTATTTTTGGTGCCTTGTTTGCCACATGGGATCGATTCGTATAGAATTTTACTATATGCATTCTCAACTTCTACTTCATTACTTTTATCTTATAATGCAGCATATAATGGTAGACTATTTTCATCATATAAGTCCTAAAAAAATATTTACATAAAAAAATTTAAAAATGAAAATATAACTTGAGAATCCATATAATAATTTATGTACGTATATGGTCTATGTGGAGAGGGGTTGTCCACGGTGTGGGCAGGGAGTACGTGGATCACTTGTTCAGTCGTTGAGAGAGTGATTTTGCGAAAGGTATGTTGGGAAATATGTAGAGTCCGAAGGTGTTTAAGTTAATTGGACCACGTCTTTTTTTGGGGGTGAAATATGGACCATGTCCCTTTTGGAAGATGGGTGCCACCAAATTGTATGAAGGTTGACGGGTGAGTTAGGGGTGCAACGTGGCAAGTGAGGTTTGTTTAGATGGGGGACACGTGGAATGCAAGAAATGCTTAGATCATGACTTGTGAGGCTTATCGTGTGTTGCTTTGTTTGAAGAAAATTGTGAATTTGGGTGAAAAATGGGTGTGGTGGGTGTTTCCTAATGAAAGTTGCTTTAAATTGACTATTGCTTGGGTGAGCAAGAGCTGCTTCCCTTTGCTTTCCCAACCAGAAACGGTGAACACATATGAGAATGAATGGTTGAATGAGAGGCTTGTGTATTGTTAGAAAATATAAGGGCAAATTATGTTAACAAGTTTGCCCTTATATTTTCTTTGGGAGAAGAAAATATAAGGGCAACTTTGTCAACATTTTTTTTTTCTTTCCTATTTGTCGTGGAATTCAAATTTCGAGGGAGGGGTAGATTTTCAATTTCAAAAAATGAGAGAATTGCAATTCTCTCAAATAACACAATGGAATTGTACATACTAAAGAATTATATGGGAAAAGAATTATAATCCTTATGTACCAAACATGCAGTAAATAGGGAACAATTTAGCTTTCTATAGGGTTGTTAACGAACCGAACATGAATGAACAAAGAT